GTGGCGACTAACATGGAAGCAGCATCAAATGTAGGCGATTTCGGAAAACTTTATCGCCTCATACGCCTATCATCTGGCAAACGCCTTAACAGTCATGCTGTGTTACGCACAGCATCAGGAGAAATTATTTCGGACACCAATGGTAAGATGGAACGATGGGCCGAACATTTCAAGCAGCTACTCAATCGCAACGCTGGTCAACCGTCTCATCGACCGATACGACACTTACCAACACCCTACGTAGTTGACTGCGATCCACCCACTCCAACCGAAATAGCTAAAACAATTAACAGACTCAGAAACAAAAAAGCTCCGGGCGAAGATGGTCTACCTCCAGAAATATACAAGGCCTGCACTCCAGCGCTAATCGATTCGCTGCACTCGCTGTTCTGCTCAATTTGGGAGTCCGAAACCATTCCTTCCGATTGGAGCACCTCAGTTCTGCTACCGTTCCACAAAAAGGGAGACAGGTCACTATGCGAGAACTACCGAGGCATAAGTCTGATTGATATCGCTGCTAAGGTTTTTGTTTCCATTCTCCTGAACCGCTTCGCGGCCGAACGCCACGTGCGAACAAGGCCAAATCAAGCCGGATTTCGACCTGGAAGAGGCTGTGTTGATCAATTATTCACACTGCGAAGAATTTTGGAACACAGGGACAAATTCCAACAGCCGACGGTTGCTTGCTTCATCGACTTCCAAGCGGCATTCGACTCAGTTGATCGAGGAGCACTCTGGTATCTAATGGAGCTCGACGGAGTTCCGACCAAGCTAATCAACCTGCTCAGGTCATACTACTCCAACACCAAAGCTCGAGTCCGAGTGAACGGTGAAGAGTCTCGCACTTTTGAGGTAACCAGCGGTGTCCGGCAAGGTTGTCCAGCATCCCCCATCCTGTTCAATTTCACAATTGATTGGATTTTGCGGCACGCCCTAACCGAGCACCACGGCGTCCAACTTTCGCCCGATATTCACATAACCGACCTCGAATTCGCCGACGACGTCGTGTTATTAGCTGAAAACTTCCCCGATATGCAACAGGCGCTCGACCAGATAAACCACCTCGCGTCTACTATCGGTTTGGAAATTAACACTTCCAAAACCAAAATGTTTTCGAACACATCCACCAGCAATGATGAAATCTTATCCCTGAATGGAGCACCTATTGAAATTGTGCCATCCTTCAGATATCTGGGATCCATAATGCTCCCCAACGGCCAAGCGAAAAACGAAGTGAATGCGCGAATCTCCAACGCCCGGAATGCGTTTCTACAGCTGAGGAGCGTTCTATGGAGCAAGAGAGAAATCAGTCTCAGGACTAAAATTCGGGTCTACCAAGCCTCCATACGACCCGTTCTCCTGTATGGCTGTGAAACCTGGCCTCTTCGCGCGGAAGATTTACGCAGACTCGAGGTAGTAGACCATTGGTGCCTCAGGTACATTCTGCATGTTCGTTGGCAGGACAAACTCTCCAACGAAGAAGTGCGTCGTCGTTGCTACAACATCAACCAAATTCCAGTACTGGTCCAACAACGCCGCCTTCGGTGGTTTGGCCATGTTCTGCGCCGACCAGATGACGATCTGGTCAAATCAGTTCTAAATCCCTCGCCATTACCATCTTGGCGATGTCGCAGGGGTGGACAGCTTAAAACATGGCTTGGTACAGTCAAGGCTGATATGGAGTGCCTGGGGCTACAAACCGTCTACGGACTCCGTCTGTGGAACAAGAATTGGATAACCCTGTCGCAAAACCTTGCATCAGATCGCCGCGCCTGGGCAGCGATGATTCGAGATGTTCATGGAGCCGACTCATCCTCCCGTAGGAGATAACTGAAGTAAAGTAAAGTAAGTAAGAGGTTAGAATTCGTGGGCTAGCCATTGGATCGGGTCCCAATGGCTTAATGGTCTACGAGCTTACCAGCTTTGTAACCAGAAGATCCTGGGTTCGAACCCTTGTGGTGGGTGCGTACTGATGAAGAGTCTCAAACTAGGACGGGGAAAACAGCTGTCCAGTACTCTCAGCCGGTTTTCCAATGTTTCTCCAACCAATGTCAACTCATGATTAAAATCCTGTAACTAATTAAGCAATAATAAACAAAAAGTTCGGTTGTTCAAGTTTACAGTTCACTGGTGTTGATACTAAAACAATGTAACATATCTTAAATGATCAATCTGCTTTTCTTGCTAAATGTCTCTGATTTGCTTTTAAGTAGGTAAAAATCACTTGGAGGAAAACAAAAGCGTACTGTGAACATTATCGTATAATCGTTTGCCCCCTCTGAACCAAAATAAACCTAAGGCTAAAATTATTAATAGTTCAAACCGAATCAACTTAATATTAACACCAAACAGACGTTAGTAATACAATAGAAACTAATCGGTAATTTCAGGATTTCATCATGAGCTGACATTAGTTAGAGAACCATTGGAAAACCTGGGAGTACTGGACAGCTGTTTCGTCCTAGTTTGGGACTCTTCAGCAGTACGCACCCACCTGGATTCGAACCCAGGACCTTCCGGTTACAAGGCGAGCTCGTATACCAGTGGCTTAATGGTATACGAGCTCGCCTTGTAACCGGAAGGTCCTGGGTTCGAATCCAGGTGGGTGCGTACTGCTGAAGAGTCCCAAACTAGGACGAAACAGCTGTCCAGTACTCCCAGGTTTTCCAATGGTTCTCTAACTAATGTCAGCTCATGATGAAATCCTGAAATCAATCAAATCCCTACAAACCAACACTTAATCGGTAATTATTTTATAGTATATCCAGTACCATAGTACAGCGAGGCAGTACTTAAAGGTCACTAAAACCAAAAAAACTACCGCACAGATGAGAAGAAGTAAGACAGACATTCGTTAAACCGCTCTCAGCACGAGGAATATGGTTTGATCTTTTAGCGCCAATGTCAAGTCAGTCAGTGATTTCCTACGGTTAAGAAACTTGATGCATCACCCAAGCCACTTCAACAGATACCCCTATTTGTGGGCTCCATATTAAAGATCAGGTGGCCAGCCTGAAAAGAGATAACCAACAAGGAGTTCTTGCAACGAAAAAGCCAAGAATCTATTAAACAAAAATATGCCGAAGGAAATCGAGATGGATTGGACACGCAATAAGAAGATCGTTGATTGTCCACAAAGGGGGCGCCAGCCAAGCCCTGAAGTGCAACTCGAATGATAGATAGCGAAATGGACGTCAGTGCAAGGGTAAAATGGGGGAAAAGTCATGTGAAAGAGTCGTGAAGCCAACCGAGAAGGATTACAGAGAATGCGATGGAATGAAGGTTCAAGGGGACAACGAGGTTGAATCCGATGAGAATGATTAGGCGTTCCTGGACTGTTTAGTAAAAATAAAACTATATGGCAAATTTAAAATAAGCATATTCAGAAAGCCGACAAATTCGGACAGATACCTAGACTAGTATTCAGCACACCCATTTACCACCAAAGTAACTGCAGCCAAGAATCTGATTAACAAAGCCAAACGTCTAGTAACTGAGGAGGAAGATATTAACAAGGAATTAAAATTGGTTTAATCCACTCTTGAATCAAATAATTATCCTAAAGCCTTCATAAAAAGATATTTAAAATGTGAAGATAAGGATGAATCGAAACCTGCTGCTAAGAATTGGGTTAGTACAGCGGTGATTCCTTACCACAAAGAAACATCCAATGAAATAAAACGAATCCTTAACAATCATCACATAACAGTGTATTTTCGTGCAAGTAACACCTTACGCTCTTCACTGGTCAAGGTTAAGGATAAAATAGAACAAGAAAACCAGCAGAATTGTGTATACCAGATCAATTGTGGGGATTATAACGCCGTATATGTAGCAGAAACTTCTAGACAGGTAAATATAAGAATGAAAGAGCGTAAACAATGTCTAACGGTGGTTCCAAAGACCTCTTCAGACTTGAAGAAGCTAGAAAACAACTCAGCAATTGTACTGCACTGCATTCGATAGAAACGGGACACAAAGTCGACTTTGTTAAGACTAAGGTTCTACAGAAAGGTTTTGGTTCATATAAAGAAAGACTGACTGGAGAAGCCCCGCATATATATGGGTGAATCCCGACAGTTTGAACAGACGTGAAGGTGTGATCTGGTCAGCTGAGGTATGGCAAATCCTGACTAATAAATAAAAATTGGATATGTATCAACATTTAGTCATAATTGGTCGAAAATTCCCGATTGTCTACGTCTTCTTATGGAGAGGCTAACAAATGTTGATGACTGTTCACCCACATACACACACACACACCACTGTATACTACATGCAGACATATATTTTACAAAAAGTAGGCTAATTTTGAAAGTCTGAGGTTAAATTTTTGATCACAATTCATACAGTTTTTAATACAGAAAATATCCCCATTAAGACTTTTAGAAAAGAGAAAGATTGAGCGAAGAAATATTTACTTTTCAATTAGATCCTCATCTCTGGCTCTACTCTAATATATATAGCATTTTAATTACAATATACAACAATTTACCAATCAAGTGGCGATATGTTTGTTAACAATAATTACTCAGTGTCAAAATGTCAGTGGGGTGGTAATTAACGAAGAAAAATAAATATGTATAATTAAAAGGTACAAATGGTTGAAACACGTGGATTGCATAATGCATAATTTTGGACAAATGAAGAGCAATTAAGGAATAAGCGTGTGCACAGGTTGATTACGTAACAGATTGTTAAAGAAAATAAAACAATTTGGACAATGACAATTTGTAACTAAAGTTGAAGTGGTCATAAGAATAAAATAATTTTTACAAGGATAACACGTAATTAAAGATGAAGTAGTCAGAAAAATAAAATAATTTGGACAATTATAGTTTTTTAAGAAGAAAATTATTTTAGGGGAAGGGGGATGAAGTAGTCCGGTTTATACAATCATGTAACGATGGCCAATGTAAGGAAAGTGGCTGTACAAATTTCTTCTGAACACATAGGCTTGGCTTCTTCAGGTGAATTCCTATTGCTTCAGCTGTATGTAGAAGACGAACTCGTAAAGCAAAATTAAGATTAGCAGGAATACGATAAATAATTTTAAATGCAGTATTAACGTCAACCTTATGCTCACTAACTACAAGGTGGGCTAAAATAGAGCTACGAATAGATCTTATTTGTCCCTTGCTTAACCATGTTGGATGATGTTCGGAAATACGATGATGAACCTGCCTAATTGTTCGCCCGTTTTGTTTATTATACATGTTGATACCTGTTTCATGACTCATATGATTAGACAAAGTTTTGAAAAAAACAAGATATATTCGTTTTATATAGAAACCTCTGTTATGTTCATTTCGATTAATTTCCCTGAAGAAGTTGGGACCGAATTGCCGAACACAAGAAACGTTGGAATTATTCATTTCAATTTCGCTGAGATTTTACAAATGTCTACTTCGACAACACAATAAAAAAGACGTAGTTTATCTGAAACGTGTAATGTATTGGCGCAACACATAGATAAGACTACAGCAGAAGAGGTCCGAGCACAATGTGCATTAACCCTAAAAAATCAAAAGAAAACAAAATCAAACTTAACCAAATCGGAAAGGGAAGCTTTAATTTGTCTTAAACAGGATAAAAACATTGTCATCGCAAAAGCTGACAAAGGAAACGCCACCGTAGTTTTAGATAAATCTGACTACATCAAAAAAGTTACTGAACATATTCAAACGGGTCCATATGAGGAAATTAAGAAGCCTGTAGATACAATAATGAATAAGGTTAAGAAATCTACAGCGGAACTAATACGCAGAATGAAGCCATCACTGGGTGAGTCTAAATGGTTTAATTTAATGCCTAAAACTAATAATGCTAGTAGAATATATGGTACTATAAAAATACATAAGCCAGGTAACCCCATAAGACCAATAGTAGATTTTAGAAACACCCCCACGTTTGAATTATCAAAACACTTAGCTCTAATACTATGCCCCATTAGAAATCGTTCAAACTCTAGATTAACTAATTCATATGAGATGAAAAATAAACTAAATGACATTCAACTAGCGAATGATGAAACAATGGTTAGTTTTGATATAACTGGTCTTTATACTAATATACCAGTTAATATGGCCTTAGAAGCAGTTAAAAAAGAATTAACTGCGGATCCGGAACTCAGTCATAGGACAAAGCTGTCCATTGAAAAAATTATTTTAGGGATTCAGTTATGCCTCACATCTACTATCTTTAAGTTCCAAGGCAAAATATATAGACAAACAGAAGGTGTAGCAATGGGATCACCAATATCCCCTATCGTAGCAGACATATTTATGGACAGCTGGGAAAATAGTGCCCTCAATACATTTAACCCTACTCCGAAAATATGGTGGAGATATGTGGATGACACTTTCACAGTGTTAAAAACAGAACACATCTCTAGCTTCTTGACACACGTAAACTCACAAGTTGAGGGAATAAAATTCACATTTGAATCAGAAAATGAACAAAGAGAATTAGCTATGTTAGATTGTAAGATAAAAAGAATAGAAGAAGGCAAACTACACACTAGTGTTTATAGAAAACCAACGCATTCTAATAGATATTTAGACTTTAATTCGTCTCATCCTTTAACTGTTAAGGCAGGCTTAGTTAAATGTTTAACAAACCGAGCAGTGGCACTAAGTAGCACAAAAAACGATCTAAATGATGAATTAAAACAGATAGAAGAAGCGTTGGTGTTGAATAACTATCCTATAAAATTCATTAGGAAGATCACTAAAGGCCAAAAACAAAATAAAAATAATTGTGAAACTAGTAGTAATAACATAAATAAGAAAGAATATAAGTCATCCACAGTTATACCATATAAAGAGGGGACATCTGAGACATTACGTAGGATTCTGAATAAAATAGGAATTAGGGTGGCATTTAAACCTACAAACTCACTCAGGGACAAGCTCTGTAGGTTAAAGGACCCAGTTGACCCAATTAGACAAAATAATATTATTTACAAAATACCATGCAATGACTGTGAGGTCAACTACATAGGTCAAACTAGTAGGTCAGGGGTAGTCAGATTGTCAGAGCATAAAAATTTAGCTAGGGTAAGAATGGTTGACCCCGAGAAAATAAATAATTTAGAAAAAAGCTCAGCAATTGCAATGCATGCGCTAACACACAACCACACAATAGGGTGGGAGAGGGTTAAAATTCTAAAAAGTAATCTAGGTAGGTGGAGAGAGAGGTTGATTACTGAGTCCTTGTTCATCGAGTCTACACCCAACACATGCAATAGGAATGACTCGTCACTCATACCTGAAATATGGAAAATACTATTACCAATCAAATCAAGTGAAAATCAAGAGAAAAACAATGGAACTATATAAATGAATTTAGGAAGTCGTGTGATTACCTTGATATGATTATGAGCAATAAATTGTGCTCGAAACGTCATCAGTAAACATTACTGTATAACACTGTGAGACTTTATCAAAACAAAATTTACCCATAATGGAATTTGGACAATGACAATTTGTAACTAAAGTTGAAGTGGTCATAAGAATAAAATAATTTTTACAAGGATAACACGTAATTAAAGATGAAGTAGTCAGAAAAATAAAATAATTTGGACAATTATAGTTTTTTAAGAAGAAAATTATTTTAGGGGAAGGGGGATGAAGTAGTCCGGTTTATACAATCATGTAACGATGACCAATGTAAGGAAAGTGGCTGTACAAATTTCTTCTGAACACATAGGCTTGGCTTCTTCAGGTGAATTCCTATTGCTTCAGCTGTATGTAGAAGACGAACTCGTAAAGCAAAATTAAGATTAGCAGGAATACGATAAATAATTTTAAATGCAGTATTAACGTCAACCTTATGCTCACTAACTACAAGGTGGGCTAAAATAGAGCTACGAATAGATCTTATTTGTCCCTTGCTTAACCATGTTGGATGATGTTCGGAAATACGATGATGAACCTGCCTAATTGTTCGCCCGTTTTGTTTATTATACATGTTGATACCTGTTTCATGACTCATATGATTAGACAAAGTTTTGAAAAAAACAAGATATATTCGTTTTATATAGAAACCTCTGTTATGTTCATTTCGATTAATTTCCCTGAAGAAGTTGGGACCGAATTGCCGAACACAAGAAACGTTGGAATTATTCATTTCAATTTCGCTGAGATTTTACAAATGTCTACTTCGACAACACAATAAAAAAGACGTAGTTTATCTGAAACGTGTAATGTATTGGCGGAACACATTTCGAACATTCTGATCACACACAATTTTTGTAGAAGGCTAGGAGGCATGAATCATTACAATACAGGTCAGTTTGTGTACAGGTCAAGGTCACAAATGATGGGTAGGGAGACGCAAAGGTGTGGGTGAGAAAGAGAAAAAAACAAAACAAAGAAGAGGTTGAAAATATTATGAAGTAAATTGGACCTTGGTTGTAAATTGGATTACCAAGGCAGGTTTAAGGTGATAACAAATAACTTTTTGACGCATAAGACTGGTTTAAGTCTTTTTAGGGCTAAGGCTTCAATGAATTTAAGTATGTGGCCCAACCTTGTTTTATATATGGGCTTAAGGGCATTGTTAAAATCAACCTTATGTCCCGTCTCTATAATGTGCTTTGCTATAGATGATGTTGGACATTTATTTTCGGAGTCAATTTTGTCTGGCGATTTCATTTGTTGTTACAGCCACTTCGGAATGTGTTCTGTGTTTATCAATTTACATGTATGTGTGGAGACACGTACATAGGGAGGACCCATCGGTCTCTGCAGGTTAGGGCTACAGAACACATTCCAAAGTGGCTGTAACAACAAATGAAATCGCCAGAAAAATTGACTCCGAAAATAAATGTCCAACATCATCTATAGCAAAGCACATTATAGAGACGGATCATAAGGTTGATTTTAACAATGCCTTTAAGCCAATACATAAAACAAGGTTGGGTCACATACTTAAATTCATTGAAGCCTTAGCCCTAAAAAGACTTAAACCAGTCTTATGCGTCAAAAAGTTATTTGTTATCACCTTAAACCTGCCTTGGTAATCCAATTTACAACCAAGGACCAATTTACTTCATAATATTTTCAACCTCTTCTTTGTTTTGTTTTTTTCTCTTTCTCACCCACACCTTTGCGTCTCCCTACCCATTATTTGTGACCTTGGCCTGTACACAATCTGACCTGTATTGCAATTATTCATGCCTTATATAAAAGCTATGTGTGATCAGAATGTTCGAAATGTGTTGCACCAATACATTACACGTTTCAGATAAACTACGTCTTTTTTATTGTGTTGTCGAAATTCATAAAGGGAACTAATTGCTTTAAATGTCTACTTCTCACTCGGCGCTTAATTATATTTTGCAACTATTCGGTCAAATCTTGATCACTGTTCATATGAATATTAAAATCTCCTCTATGGTTTTTACCTATTCTCCTGAATGTCTTACTGACTACGGATTCCGATAGTCTGTAACTTGTCATATCATATATCACATCACTCAGACGCGTCGGTGGCACAGTGGTTAGGACTCTCGCCGACCATGCACATGGTCCGGGGTTCGAGCCCACGCCGGCGCACACCTGATATCTATGGTCGACCTGCAAAATTTGGGCTACCGATATCCATGCCGAAAATTCCATACTTGTACCAAAAATACAGTGTGGAATCAAGCTGTAAATCAAAAATAAAAAAAAATAAACAAAAAATAAACAAAACAAACAAACAAATAACTAAATGCATTTTCGGTTTTATTACTTCATTAAAAATTGTCCCATAGATGATGGCATTCCCACTCACAATGTCAAAAAAAAATACAAACTACACATTCATTACAACTGTTTCAGAAATCTAACCACACACACACACATACACACACATAAACAAACGAGTTAGAAAAGAAGAATTAAGCAAACATAAAATCTAATTGATAAAGTAATTGAAAACTTTTCAATCATAAACTTGTCGAAATCCTGAAGCATCAGATTTCTGTGATTTTCTTAGTCTTTCTTCAAAAAGTTGATCATTCATTACCACCCCCACCGCCATGTTCGATTGTAACCCTTTTGTAGAATAACTATGCGCTAAAGAATATCTGGATAAAAACTTCCTCAAACTACGCGATTCCACTAAAACTGTAGTTTCCAACTTGTCGTATTCGCTAAATACATTTATAACATTAGCGATTGTATGGTTTATACTATTATAATAATAATCGTTTTGCTGACCAGCGGAAGATTTCATTAAAATTTTATCGAAAAATATTATTGTTGGCATACATTTTACATATTCATCAGTTGATTGTAAGGTAATCTCGATTAGGTTATTGATTTGTTCAATCACAACAGGATTGTTTAAATCAACTAAATTGGATAAGTTTTCCAATTGCGCGCATATCATTTGAGCGCAAAATGTAGCCCCACTTTGACTAGAAATTGATAAATCTTTTAGAAGTACTAATAAATAGTATAGGGAATGAAAGAGTAGAATTATTGACATGACAACAGATTGCTCACGATAATGATTTTCAGTTAAATGCTGTTGAAGTGTTGAAGATTTCATTGGTATTGTCGTTGTTGTTGTACTCGGGCATGAATCATTAGTAATAATAATACTGTAAGTTTTTTGTAATGTACACTGTGTATTAATTAAAGTATGAATACATGCTTCGATGATCCATATAACTGGGAGATCATTTATTGTCAATGCGGTTCTACTGGTTATTTTTTTATTGATAATAACAGTTGTAAATAAATGAATTATACTGTTAGGATAATTATACGGTGAGCATTCATATATTGCATATAGCGATTTTGCTGCACGGACACGAGCCTGTGAAATATGGTAAAAATAAAATGGAGTGAATACAATACAATATCAATTATAAATGTTAAATTATATCAGGCGAAAACATCAAAACTATGAGTTAAACTTGGGCACTGTGGTAGTAAGTAATGCCATATTAGCTTGTTTATCAGATGTATCACACAGTGAAACAGTATTATGTACTGGATGACGTTTCGAACAAAATTTATTGTTCATAATCATATCATCAATTATAATCACACGACTTCGAAACTTGAGTTTCATAGTCTTCTTTGTTCTCTCCTATTTGTCGTCTTTGAGGTAGTAGAATTTTCGAGATATCTGGGTGAACAAGTGTTGAATCATTCCTATTACACACGTATTTGCAGTTGATTTGATAAACAAAGCTTCTGTTATCAATCTCTCCCTACATTCATCCTGTGACATTCGATTTTAAAACTGTCATCCCATCCCATTTTATTGTATGGTTGTGTGTAACTGCATGTAGTGCTATGGCTGAACTATTCTCTATAAAACTCAAGTTTTAAAGTCGTGTGATTATAATTGATACGATTATGAACAGTAATAAATTTTGTTCGAAACGTCGTCCAGTAAATAATACTGTTTCACTGTGTGATACATTTAATAAACAAACTAATATGGGATGACAAACACTTTTGTTTAAACAATCTTTTGAGGCGCGGGGAGGTAAATACATACAAACACGTGAACATTGTGAAAAACAAATAAGGATCAGTTTCAATAAATATATATATATAATCTTGTGGAAGCAAAGACATTGGACGCAAGGAAAGGTGTATCTGCCAACCGGGATAGTTGAACACTTCTCCTTAAAATGGCTTCATATAGCATACATCATGGTATCCCATACGACATTTGTTGGACTTTGAGTAGAACCTTTATAATTATCTATAAGTAAGGTTAGTTTTCACATGGAGATCTTTGATTCAGTTATTCAGGAACATTCAAAACAGTATTTACTCAGATAATCATTGATAAATAACACAACTTCATTTACCCCCTTGGGACCACTTTTTGCAGACTTATTCTTGTCAGATATAACTCTATAAAACTTGGGAACTGTGGCTGTAGAGTATAACTCCATTATAGATAAGATTTTATTTTGATAAATCACACACGGTGGTGCTATACAGTAATATTAACTGATGACCACCTTTCGAGCACAAATTAATACCACTCATAATCATATCAAGACACTACTCACACAACTTTCTTGCTTCATTTATATACATGTGGGGAATTGACAAGATATTTGAATAAAAATCAATATGTGATAATGTACATTCAGAAATAATAATAATAATAATAATATGAGCGTTATTGATCAGTAGCACTAAGTAGCACAAAAAAGACCTAATTGATGAAATAAAACAGATAGAGGAAGAGGCGTTGGTATCAAATATCTATCCTATAAAATTCATTAAGAAGATCAAAAAAAAGGCCAAAATCAAATTAAAAATAATTGTGAAACTAGTAATAATAACATAAATAAGAGAGAATATAAGTCATCTACTGTTATACCATATATAAGGAGGGGACATCTTAGACCCTACGTGGTAGGATTCCTAATAAAACAGGAATTAGGCTGGTGGCATTCAAATCTACAAACTCAGTCAGGGCGGACAAGCTCTGTATGCTAAAAGACCCGGTGAACCCAATTAGTCAAAATAATATAGTTTACAAAATACCCTGCACCGACTATCAGTGACGTCAACTGTATAGGTCAAGCTAGTAGATTGGGGGTAATCAGATTGTCGGAACATAAGAATTTAGCTAAGGTAAGAATGGTTGACCCAGAGAAGATAAGTAGTTTAGAAAAAAAAGCTCAGCAATCGCAGTACACACAACCACACAATAGGGTGGGTGGGAGAGGGTTAAGATTCTAAAAAGTAATCTAGGTAGGTGAAGAGCGAGAGAGGTTGACTACTGAATCCTGGTTCATTGAGTCTACACTCAACACAACAAATGCAACAGAAATGACTCAATGCAAATACCAGAAATATGGAAGATATTATTACCACCAGTCAGTCAAATCAGAGGAGGATAATAAATAATCTTAAAATCTTTTCAAATTCACACACAAGAATTATAGCATTCTAACAAGTTACTTATTTATTTTGACTATAAAAACACTCGTCTCATTTTCCATCTGATTGTAGTTGATCAATAACACCCTATTATTATTATTTCTGAATGCACATTATCACATATTGAATTTTATTCAAATATCTAGTCAATTTCACTCATGTATATAAGTGAATGAAGAAAGTTATGTGAGTAGTGTCTTGATATGATTATGAGCGGTAATAATTTGTGCTCGAAACGTGGTCATCAGTTAATATTACTGTATAACGCTGTGCGACACTTTATCAAAATAAAATCTTATCTATAATGCAGTTTATTCTTCTCAGACCTAGAAGCCAGTACCTTGCAGCAACATATACATGAAACGGATGTATACCTAAGATATGTTGATGACATTTTTATTGTCTGTGGAAGCAGATCAAAAGCCGAAGACATGTTGGTAAAATTTTCAACTCATGCCATCCAAATCTCAATTTTACAATAGAACACGAAGAAAACGATACTATTAAATTCCTAGACGTTTTACTAGCAAAAATGACTGGTGACACAATCGAAAGATCCATATTTATAAAGTCTTCATGGACACGACAGTACATGCATTTCAAGAGCTTTGTTCCAATCCAGTATAAAAAGAACTTAGTCAGAACATTGTTCAGTTGAGCACGAAAAATTTGTCCTGACAGTACTATTGAGCATGAAATAAAATCTCTGAAGGATATTTTATCTAAGAATGGATATCCTGAGAAATTCATTAATAAATACTCTAAAGAATTTACCCCCTGCAAAACTATCCAAACAGTTCCACAGAAATCTGTCTATATCAGTTTGCCGTTCAAAGGAGATGATGTACAGGAAGTAATTAAACGAAGACTCGATAAAGTCATCAAGAGAACTTATTATGCTGCAAAACGTGTTTTCCTTAACACCACTAAGCGGGTGTTTCAACAATCTGCTAGAGACCAGTCGCCCATCCTTGACACTTCAAACTGCGTATATCAATTTGAGTGTGTTTGTGGAAGCAAATACATAGGTCGTACAGAAAGGCGATTGTCTACTTGCATGATGGAGCATTCGCCGAAATGGTTGAAAACAGCTGAGTACAAAGTGCTGAAAACCTCAATAACGAAACATCTTGTGGACCATAGATATGATATCGACACTGTCAAGTCATTTGTTATTGTCAGCAGAAAAAGAAACAGGAAGATGCTTGCAATTGCAGAGGCTTGTGCAATTCGAGTTTATAAACCAGGTCTCTGTGTACAAAAGGAGATGGTCTTCACTCTGAACCTACCATGGTAATACGTTTTACTAATTATTCTACCTCTCATCAAAATTATTATTCGTGATTCATTTAAATTTATCAGTAGCGTTATGTTAACTCACTTCAACATTATTATTGTTATTATAACTATTACAATTGATATTACTGCTTGCAATTCTTGTTATATTCTTTAATGTCTAATTGTTTATCTAAGTGATGCAATTGAAGCGTAATGCAATTTATCTTAATTTAATCTCTTATACTCTCTCTGCCCCTATCTGTTTGAACATGACCTGGAAAACATTCACACCTGTCTTTCTGCATGACTAATTCAATGTAGTTTGTTTACTTATCAGTCTTATATCTCCCAATGTAATTCCAAAAAGTACATATATATCCGTGTATGTAGAGTATTCAGCTGAGGAGTTTTACCGAAATTTGATGAGTTCATTAAATCCTACTTTATTAACCTTTACTGCTTGTTTTATTTATACTCACGAGTAGCTTCGAATGTTTATCAAACAAATATTAGATAAGAATAATTTTTAAGAAGACAGTTGCAGTGAAGAAAATTTGCTTTTCGATGAAGTCACCATCAACTAGGCTGTACATTCGTGTATTTATATCAAATGGATGGGAAAGTTCCAGAATAATTTCCAGTTAACGGTCAAATTAATTAAAATTACAATTAGGAATTAAAATGCCATAATAAACAAGGGGACGGATAAAACTCAAACAAAGTATCATCATACTTGCTCTTGTGGAGCTGAGTACGTTGGCCGTACCAAGCGCCGACTTGAAAAACGCGCTCGTGAACACTACCCAGCCTGGTTAGTAAAAAGAGACAAAAAGCGTGTATACAGTTCAGTGACAGAACATCTGATCAACTCACGACATTCAGCACCTTTCGTAAAATCCTTCAAAGTAATATACAAGATTCAATCAAACCTATCAAAGGGAGTGAAATCAAGACATCTGGGCATAGCCGAGGCACTAGCTATACAAAAGCTCAAGCCCACGCTTTATATCGAAAAGAAATACGTCCAACCACTGTCTCTGCCATGGCCATCATAAACAGGTAATTCTTTTAGTAATGACCATCCCATCGCCTTTCTTATCTAAACTTCCTGTTTATTCCTGTTATTTTTTAAGTTTTTCTTAATCCCTCCTATTTACACTACCATATTTCCATATCCGAACTTCGTGTTTATTTTGTCATTTTACTATTTCTACATATTTAATCCCTGATTGCATAAACAATTATTCATCACATTAGTTTTTTTATCCAAACATCCTGTCTATTTTGTTATTTCTACATTTCTAACCCGCAACAGCACAATGTCAATCGTCTTGGTTATTATGATGCTACTTTGTTTGAGTTCTATCCGTCCCCCTGTTTATTATGGCATTCTAATTCCTTATTGTAATTTTTGTTAATTTGAACCTTAACCGGAAATTATTCTGGAACTTCCCCATCCATTTGATATAAACACACGAATGTACAGCCTAGATGATGACTTCATCGAAAAGCAAATTTTCTTCTCTGCAACTGTCTTCTTAATAACTCCTATGACCCAATGTGTATATTCCATAATAATAATAATAATAATTTTTCTTTAAAGAAAGTAACCAACCTTGAAATATCTATCATATGTTAGTGTTTTGCATAAATATTTGACGATTTCACTAAATTCAAGTATACTCTGCGTAGATGTTATTGGATCCAATTGGGAATCAGCGTTAAGAGTAGCATTATTCGTAATGATTGACCAAGTATCCTTCTCATCTTCAATAGCACGATTAATTGATAAATATTTTTTAATCAATTCACTCCAAAGTAATTGATTACGAAATAGATGACCAGCTGAATAATTTGCATTCCAACGAACTTTTGCTGCTCCGTTAATTTTGTCCAACACAAGAGCTTGACACAATGTCTATATTTTATGTAGAATGATATGAACAAAAGCACTCTGTTACCTATATGCATGCATATATTATAAGTGTACATAAAGAGAGGAAAAAACGTTTAAAAGTTAGTTTGGCGCCCGAACGATCTTAAGTTGAATCCGTCTAAATGTCAGGTAGTCAATTTCACTTTCAGACATAAACGTGACCTACAACAACTAGTTAGCTCACATGGCCCCACTATTATTGACGGCACAGAGGTTGAAAATACACCTAATGTCAAGTACCTTGGGTTGAGTTTTTCCACCGATCTTTCCTGGTCCTCCCACATCTTGCTAGTCACTAGAAAGATGTTTCGCTTAGCGTTCTAAGTGAGGAAGTTAAGGCAGTCTGGTATAAAGCAGTCTTTGCTTTCCCATTTCGTCAATCCTTGTATTCTACCCATCCCCCTTTACTGTTCCCCATTAATCTTTCCTGGACTACTTAAGAAAGACTGCTTTGCTGAGAAGGGCAGGCATTAAAAGCCGTTAGTAGGGCAAGTGGGATATCGTTAAACCAACTGGTTAACACTATTGTGGATAGACATATTATATCATGTAAGAAACTAGCGAATACAATATTGTCAGACCACGAGCATCCCATCTATACACAGCTCTCTCCTTGCATTTCATCTGGTAGAACTAGAAGCAGCTAAAGGAGGCTATATGCTAGGACTACCAAGTACAAAAACTCCACAATACCATATCTGGTACAGCTGTTGTGTGATGAGAAATCCATTAGGTATGACACGATCAACTTACGGCGGCACTCTAACAAACAGTCCCATTAGTTGTTTTTGTTTTCCTTTCCTCGTTACTATTACACTGTTGTTCTCATCTTCCATTCACACGTCAACTTTTATATTTCGTATCCTGTGGTGCATTGCTTAAAATGTAAACGCAACGCTGTTGTTTTTATTTTTTATCTTTTTTTTTGGTTTTTTGGGTGTTGCTTTTTGATTTTAAAATCTTATAAAATTTATGAGGTAATTAGATGCAATATATTGTAATGCACGCTGAAAATTCCATAGCTGTACCACAAATACCGTCTGGAATAAAGGTGTTATTATTATTAACAAAAATAATATGTGATTAGTGGTGTTAACCAGGTAAATAAATAGTGAGAAGGAGCACGATATAAGTATAAAACTTGGACACTGTGGCTGTAGAGTATAACTCCATTATAGATAAGATTTTATTTTGATAAAGTGTCGCACAGCGTTATACAGTAATATTAACTGATGACCAACTTTCGAGCACAAATAATTACCGCTCATAATCATATCAAGTCACTACTCACACAACCTTTTTCTTTCATTTATATAGATGTGTGGAATTGACCAGATATTTCAATAAAATCAATATGGGATAATATACATTCAGAAACAATAATATTAGAATTATCAATTAAATACAACCAGATGGAAAATAAGACGAGTGTTTTTATAGTCAAAATAAGTAACTTGTTAGAATGCTATAATTCTTGTGTGTGAATTTGAAAAGATTTTAAGATTATTTATTATCCTCCTCTGATTTGACTGACTGGTGGTAATAATATCTTCCATATTTCTGGTATTTGCATTGAGTCATTTCTGTTGCATTTGTTGTGTTGAGTGTAGACTCAATGAACCAGGATTCAGTAGTCAACCTCTCTCGCTCTTCACCTACCTAGATTACTTTTTAGAATCTTAACCCTCTCCCACCCACCCTATTGTGTGGTTGTGTGTTTATGCATGCAGCGCATTGCAGTGCTGAGCTTTTTTCTAAATTACTTATCTGCCTTCTCAGGGTCAACCATTCTTACCTTAGCTAAATTATTATGTTCTGGCAATCTGATTATCCCCGATCTACTAGTTTGACCTATATAGTTGACGTCACTCGCAGTTATTGCAGGGTATTTTGTAAATTATATTAATTGGGTTCACCGGGTCTTTTAGTCTACTGAGCCTGTCTCTGAGTGAGTTTGTAGGTTTGAATGACACCCTAGTTCCTGCTTTATTAAGAGTCCTACGTAGGGCCTCATGTGTCCTCTCCTTATATGGTACAACAGTAGATGACTTATTCTTTCTTATTTATGTTATCATTATTAGTTTCATAATTATTTTTTAATTTCCTTTTGACCTTTTCCGATCTTTCTAATGAATTTCATTGTGCGTGTGTAGATTTGATGAACAAAGACTCAGGAACTAACTCCCGCCTTCATTCACCTGCATTACTCTTTAGAAGTGTATCAGCTCTGTCTAACTCTACTGTGTGGTTCTGCGTTAGTGAACACACTGTAATAGCTGAGTTTTTCTCTAAACTGTTCATCTTTGTTAAGATCAATCATTCTACAACTAATTAATTATTATGTTCCCGTAATCTGACTCTACACCCTCGATATACTGGTCCGACCTTACAGTCATTGCAATATATTTTGTGGAATGCATTATTTTGCTTATTGGTTCAGTAGGGACCTTTAGCGCCGACACAATTTGTCCCTGAGTGAATTGGTAGGTTTAAATACCAGCATAATTCCTGATTTATTAAGAATCTTACAAAGCGTTTCAGACGTCCAGTTCTTACATAGTAAATCTGTAGATGTCTTAAATTATTTCTTACTTAGTATTAATATTAATGTCTGATTTCCCACACACTGGAAGATATGCACATGAAGAGCAACAAGTTGGAAGAAGAAGCATCCAGAGAAGATAGGCCTTCAAGTGAACATAGAGAAAACAGAGGTGATGAAGATTCCTGGGCAACATCAACAGCGACAACAACAGACGACAGTCAGTATAAATGGGAGGAACCTGAAAGAAACAACTTCCTTTACCTACCTGGAAAGCATCGTTTCAATTACAGGCGTACGGAACTGACGAGGATATCAAAGGAAGAATCGGAAAAGCAAGACAAGCTTTCATTACTCTGAAGTCTGTGTGGAGGTCAACATGACTCAGCATCAAAAATAAGATTCGGATTTTCAACTCCAAAGTGAAGTCAGTCAGTGGTACTATACGGATCAGAGATTTGACCAGCGCATCATAAAGAGCACCTCAAACAAACTATACACCTTCATCAACAGCTGTCTTCGCTTACTACTCAAGATCAGATGGCCGACTGGAAAAGATGAGCAACGGGGATCTCTGGTAATGAACGAACCAACCCAGCAGGAACCGATTGTGCAACAAATAAGCAGAAAGGAATGAAGGTGGAGTGGCCATACTTTGAGAAAACAAACCATCAAGTGATATCACTAGACAAGCCATTGCTCGAGTGGAACCCGAAAGGGAGGCGGCAAGTTGGTCGCCCAAGAAGGAGGTCATGTGAAGAGGAGATGAAAGCATGTGGGCAGACGTGGATCCAGGTGAAAACTTTAGCAGAAAACCGAACGCAATGGAGATGTGCAGTTGAAAGCCTTACGTTCTTCTAGGAATTAAAGGAAATAATAATTATTATCATTATTATATTGTTATTCCCTTAGCTTTTGAGTAGAGAACACGCCTTCAACAGCATGTCACCATTCCAGCCCATCGTCTGCAATTTCCCACAAGCCTTCATCTCCTCACACAATCTCTTCCATGTCACCCTCGCAATTACGGCCTACTTGTTGTTTCTCGTTCTGTAGTTTCACTCGACTGACGGTCTGATGCGTAATTCCACTCAACAGTCTCCTCAGCATGCATCCGACCCATTCCCCCCCTCCATCGCCCAGTATATCTGTTGGTCGACAGGTTGTTGGTTAGTTCATTTCAAGAATTCCTTCTTCCTAATCCTTCCTGACCATCCATCAACTTGGATATCACATTGTCTCAATTGATAGAAAGGCGTCATTTAATACACATCAAAACCAAAAAGAAATTGGATTGATAAAGCTCCTCACCTTAACCATTTCATTGATTATTTCCTGTTTCTTTATCATACCAGGAGCCAGTACTCCCAATGCATAACCCAACGCTTTAGCTCCATTTTCACAGCGATGATCATCTGGATTTTTAATGACACCATCTACTGTGTTATTATTATTATTATTATTAGTGGGTTTAACTGATTCGGATTCAACTGTCAACGCGTTTGCAGCTGTTTCACCTTTTGTCGATTGTTTCACTTCATGATTCACCTTCGTCGATTTATCCACTGTAGAACATAGCTCACTAGATGGAAAGGAAAGAATAGCAAACAAAAATAGGGGAAAATCATTGGAGGGAATTTTGAAATTTTGAGTGTTATATGCTTGAGGATTACAATAACTGATTCCATGTTGCAATTAAAAATTTATCCACTTTTATCTTTCATAATACAATTTAAATTATGAACTTTTGTAGGCATCTGGAATTGATTTTAATATAGATTTTGTCACGAAGCAGCAACACTTACAGATCACTGTAAACCAGGAAGTAGTGGACAGCAGTTTCACCTCTGACTGGGGCTCTTCATCAGTGAGCAGCCTAGTCCATATTAGGGGGTCGCGAACACGAGACTTTCAGGTTACGAGACCAAGCTCATTGACCGACCATGCAGCCAGAGTTCAATGATCCGTGGATTATAAACTTTATCAATTCATGAAACAGTGCTATTAACAAATCGAATTAAAACTGTGAAATATTTTAAGTCAGACCGAGTATTCGCCTTCACTTTTAAATTATGTTAATCAATGTACATTTCTTGATTCAATTTAAAGATCCTTTAGATTTACCTATCATGAAATTATGAACCAGAATTTTATTTTTCTGGTAGTTTTATCACTCCTTGGCCTTGAGAGCTGCTGAACAGCATTCAAAAATTGACTACATAAGAGTTAATTCAACAATCTATTGTGAAACATTTTTTTTTTGATTTACAGCTTGATTCCACACTGTATTTTCGGTACAAGTATGGAATTTTCAGCATGGATATCGGTAGCCCAAATTTCGCAGGCCGACCATAGATATCAGATGTGCGTCGGTGCGGGCTCGAACCCCGGACCATGTGCATGGTCGGCGAGAGTCCTAACCACTGTGCCACCGATGCACGCGTATAATAACACAAAAGCCTCAAAAAACATTAGGATATTGGTACTACTTCATGTTCACTCCCGTATGCATATTGTCAAAAAGTTCCATAATAAGCAAAATAGAACTTTCTAATACTGCTTCCCTCTGAATAGTGATTTAACTGTTTATTATCTCCATTTTCACAGGAGAAGACATATTGTGGTGACAGCCGCCTGCTAACCAAAATTGGTAGACAGTAATTTACTTCCCAAATCTTGGTCATGAGAAAATAACAAGAACAAAGGCTGACTCAACAACCAACCACAGCAGACTTTGCGTAGGCGGATTCAGTTAACATATAGATGATCTGATATTCAAGAAACAGCCACAAAGAGATGCAAGGTTAACTTTCTGTGAGAAACAACCAATCATAAAACTGTGTTTTTCTGCTAACAATAATCCATAATATGTACATGAAAATCTATAAATATGTGTTGATTTCCTGAATAAACGATCTGTTTCCTGGCCCTTGTCTTCTGTTGTTACAATATGACCGAGTGTTTACGTGACCTGTAAACCAGACACGATCCTCATAGAGATTAAGGCTCACATAAATGAACTTTTACCGGCGTATATTGTCCAGTTAGGATCTAGTATTTGCATTTGAAGCTATTGATTTATTGAGGGGGGGGGGAGGATCACTCGTCTCACACCTTCCTTTCCCTCTATGCCTGGATTACTGTGGAATAAATGAACTATGTGAGGCATTAAGAGTGTGTTGGCCGGAAATCGGCCACCGAACCACATGTATGGTTATCGAGCATTCTGTCTACCTTTGGACCACTCATCACCAAAACGAAGAGTAAAATACAGTATAGCATGTTTCAGTGTCAAAAAATTCAATTCATTGAGGACAAACTACATTATTCGAGTGAACGGGATCAAATCAGCAGCCGTCTTGTGCATACAATCCCGTTCTCCATGGGTTTTTTTAACAATCAGGACAAATGAGCCCCGCCCACAACCTCCTTCACTTCTAAGACACCGGTCAAAAGTGCCAGCTGGTTGATGTTTCAAATTAAATAGGTTCCTGTCGGACACCAGTCAGTGGTCTACTCTAAATGGCCTCATGCTGAATCCCTCAAAATGCCAGACTATTGACTTCTCCTTTAGGCATAAATGAGATCTACAAACATTAGTAAGTACTTATGAAGCCTGTAGCATTGAGGGGACTATAACTGAAACAAAGTCTAATGCAAAATATTTTGGATTAGTTCTATCTTCCGACCTTACTTGGTCATCTCATATCCAAATGATTTCCAAGAAAGTGTTTCGTCTAACCTACTACATTAAGAAACTCAGACTAACTGGAATCACTCAACCTCTGCTTTCAAAATTTGTCAACTCTCATATCTTACCTATTCTACTTTACTGCTCCCCATTAGCCTTTCCTGGGTTACTGAAAAAGGACTATACCATCCTGAGAAGTATGTTGAAGGCAGTTAGTAGGACTAGTGGTGTAAAACTCAGTCAACTCGTCACTACATTAGTAGAAAGGCATCTGAATACATGCGAAAAATAGTCTAAAACCATACTCCCCGACCCCCAACACACCCTTTATTCCCAACTCTCTCCATATATCTCATCAGATAGAACCAGAAATCAGTACAAAATAATATATGCTTGTACAACCAAGTATAGGAACTCAACGATACCATATTTGACCCGTGTTCTAAGTGACAGATACAATGTTAAGAGTGAAACCTATGACTTGATTTGTTGTTAATAACATAATTTTGGTCCTTGCTATTTCCCCCTTATACTCTCTTATTTATACTCTATAGTGAACAACCTTCTTAAACATACTTAGCTACTTAATATTATTATCATTGGCTTACTTTTTTGTACTTTACTCTATTTCTTCTTTTGTATATCTACTGGGTCCGACTATATTATCACTATGATTATTAAAAAAAATTGTCCTATCATTAACCATCATGTAATATTAGTTTTGTGATTGTTTTTTGTTCGGCAATATCAAAACTGAAAATCTTGGTTGTGAACGCCGTTATCACCATCTTATAATTTTTGTATTATGCATGATTACTCACACTACTACCACAACAAACGCCCTATTACTGCTGACAATAAAAAAACAACCCTGAAATGTTTATTTTATGATTGTTTAGTGTAGTTAAATCGAATTAACTGATCATCTTGGCTATAAACATTTCTTAAGAACATTTCATAACTTCTTGTATGACTATAGCTGTTACTGTTCACCACGCATACACATATCATAGCTTCCACTACCCAATAATGAAATATTATTTATTATTGTTGTTTATTTTCTTTTCTACTTCTTGGTTTCTCTCGCATTTTTTTTGTTATTTTTGTGTTTTTTGTTGCTATTGTTTTTTTATATTTATTTTTTGAAATACTCCTTTTAAATGTGCAATGAAATTAGATGCAATATTGTAGATATGTGCTGAAAATTCCACACTGTACCGCTAGTACTGTTTCTGGAAGAAAGCAAATTATAATTATTATTATGTAGCAGAGACATCATGTCTCTTGTAGCTCAATTTAGGAGCATTGATCTTAATGAGTAGTGCCTTACTGACGATGTATCTTTTGATGCAAAATAAGCAGACGTACTGTATTCGTCGAAAACTGTTGCATAAATTAAAAAGGTGAAAGAAATGGATTTCTTTGTCTAGAACAAAACAAACATGATATCAATGTTCAACATAAATTCGAGAAAAGAAAACATACCAACATGTCTGAATTAGTCTACTCCAGTCAAGTGTATTTCCATCCACTAGATTGTTGTTCCCACCATTGACAGCCTTTTGTCTGATTTTCGTCAACATAATTAAACAATTCCCTATACACCAGGCAGACTCAATTCCCATGACATTTGATTGATAGACAGACCATAATTGCTGAGATTTTTCAAGTAATCGAACAATTTGGTTTAGATGACATTGAAGGGGTCTGTATTTCAAACAAAAAAAAGGCAGATTAAGCGAGTGCTATAGAGATAAATTATCAATATGACAGATTATTGTATTCGCGAAAATAAAACAATAGAAACGGTAAATATATTCTACAAGTATATTGTTGGCCATATTGCTTGACTAGCGCCACTGTTGTCCTAGTGTGGTAAGAGCTGTCTGCCGGCCACAATTGGTAGACATTAATTTACGTCAATATTTACATCCCCAATATTAGTCATGAGAAAAATAAGGACAAAGACTGATTCAGCAACCAATCACAGCAGACTTTGCATAGGCGGATACAATTTGCAGATAGATAATCTGAACTTCAATAAACGGCCATAAAGAGATGAAAGATTAACTTTCAGAGAGAAGCAACCAATCAAAAGACTGCGTTTGTTTGTTTACAATAATCTATAATAATGTACATGAAAATCTATAAATATGTGATTTCCTAAATAAGCGATCTGTTTCCTGGCGCTTGTCTTCTGTTGTTACACTAGTACTAGGTGAATAACACGGCACCTACCCACATCTGACAGTTGTTCCATAAAGATAGATAACATCCTGTTATTCTGTGATATTTAAGACATAAATAACAAATCGTTGAAAAATTTCAGTAATTTATCACAACAGAGACTTAGTACGGGTTCAAATTAAAAAACTCATTGAATTTAATACTAAATGACACAAATTCAGTTTTCTAAGGCAGCATCAGCTTCCCTACCATGCACCTTGTTAACTAGTATGACCAATGAACCAACTTCAGTCAAGAAGCTAATGAAAACCGAAAAGTACGGAAAATTAGTATTTTATTAGATCTCTGCCTATCAGGGCTACACCATATCTACAACTTCGAACTGTTTATTTTGCCGAATTTTTCAATTCTTGGTTATCAGAATGATAGCGCGAATATCGACCGATGGATGCCACGAGTGACATAATGTGGCTAGTTAGACGCACTAATCTAAACTTCTGGATAAGAACTTCAAGAAGTCTGTTACATCATTTCTAGTGATCATTGGTGCACATTGTTTAACAAGAATGAAGCAGCTAACCAGAGACCATTTTAGTGATAATCAAGATCAGCGGATTACCAGGACCTCGCAAAATCTAAAAAGTGGCTAAGCTATGCAGTGCTACATACAAGTACGCACAACCATGCAATAGGATGGGATAAGATGACAGTCTTAAAGTCTAATATAACAGGGTGGAGGGAGAGATTGATAACGGAATCTATATTTATAGAATCAACTGAAAACGCGTCCCGGACATCTGGAAAATTCTACAACTCCTACAACGAATAAGAAGGAATAAAGGAAAGTATAAAACAGAAGTTATAATTAACATGATGATGAACAGTAATAAATTGTGTTCAAAACGTCGACCAGCAAATAATAATACAGGATATTATCATGAGCTGACATTAGTTAGAGAACCATTGGAAAACCTGGGAGTACTGGACAGCTGTTTCGTCCTAGTTTGGGACCAATCAAATTCCTACAAACCAACACTTGCATACTGTTTCACTGTGACATTTTGTAGTAAAAAATTAGTACGAGGAACTGAATAGTTTGCCAATAGCTTTCTCAAAGTCCCATTAAAAAATAATATTCATGACATTGGTCTGCTTAAATACAGAAACCAATGTTCATCTACTAGCCGGCATACAATAGACGCAGCAAATTTAGCAGCGTTCAAAGGGCCCTTGATAAATCAACAAAATAGTAAATTGAAATTTGACAAGGTAACTTACTCATACAATATATGCGTTCCAATAGCATGCAAAGCTTCAGCATTTATTGTTTCATCGTTTACATCTAACGCACGCCAAAGTGATTCACTTATTGTGTTCATATCAATTAGAATGGATTTATGTTTAGGCTTTTCAAATAAATCCATAAGTCGGCTATCAATGCATGTTAATATCCGACAGCACCATGATCTATCAATGCTGACTGCACTGTTCTGTGGAATGAAAGAAGGCATATATGATAGACACATTAGACTGAGGTAAATCAAAATGAATTTTACTGTGCAGTGTTAATAATATTACTGATAATTTACTTGTGTATATATGTCCGACCTGTTAAAATGCAGGGCGTTATGTGGTTAGCTGATATTCATTTTTTTGATTAGCCATAAACTATGTCACTTCTAATTCCTAAACTGTTCGCAGTCTGTTCCATGACTGCCAACTAGCTTTCGCCATTTGCTGTGATTTCTACAGTCCTTCTCTTTTAAGTGCCAGACGATAAGTAACTTTTTATGAATGTTTTAATTGTAGATCCGTAGCAGTGGTGACATCTTTAGGGTTTGCCTAGAAGTCTACATGAACCCCTCCAAACAATTCACCTAAATAACTTTCGAGGAGTAAATCAGTCATACATGTTTCGTGTTCAAAAGAGTATTAGTCGACAAAACAATCAACTGAAGCATGCCGAAAAAAAAATAAATGGTCAAGTTCATGTGGTTATGCCATGAACCCTAAGCTTTGGGACGTTTACTGCCGTTGTAGCAAGTTAGATGCTATCATACTGACTTACAGAAAGTTGCGTCTTAATAACACCTAATTAAGTCTCAAGAAGTTTCGAACTCAACTTAGACGTCATTCATACAGCAACCATGAAAAACTATTGCGGGATACTTTTTAGTTATTCTGTAAGTTATTTCATACGCTGTTTGAGACCTATGACTTAAAATGTTATATTCAAAGGACAGGATAAAATGCTGTGTGACAGGAACAGGGCGTAAATTTTCGGTGAGTTCGAAAAGCAAAGGGAAACAGGGGTTTGAAAGAAATACGTCTAATTACTTCAATTAGGCCTTAAAACCAAATGCTGTTTGGGCGAAAACACTTAAAAAGTTTGGAGAATGTTCCGGACATCATGTTGCATTTCTTCACATTAAGTCTTCAATAAAGAGACGATCACACCATAACAAAGTAGTTTCTTCACTGAGTGTGTTTGATAAAATCACAAGGTAATACAAAATAATACAAAATTATTTACTAATGACGTCTCGAAGACAATTTACTGCTTATAGTCATATTAAGGCAGCCACATGACTTTCCGACTTCTTATATATGCTGGAAGGCTGTGAGAGTGCCTTAATACGATTATAAACAGCAGTAAATTGTTCTCAAGACGTCATTAGTAAGTAGTGTTGTATCAGTGTGTGATTTTAACTAACAAATTTGCTCTATGACAAAATTATAATCTACCACAGTGCCAAAGTTCACTTCTTATATGGGTACTTCAAAAGGTGATTCAGAAGTGGTATGCCTTGTTAGTGTTCAGAAATTGAGCCGGGAAAAAACGGTACATGAGAAAAGTCTTAGGCCAGAAATAGATAATGAAAAGAAAATGAGAGAGGAGTGTGATTGTTTCTGTCGCAGGAATCTTGCTAAGATGGATAAGCGGATAAGCAAAGTCGAAGTCTTATACATGGGATTTGTACTAACCTGTCAGTTGTCAAATATTCTTTAGCATTCTTTACTATTAAGTAAATGAGCAGCAAGGAGTTCAAAGCTCTCAAAATCAGTGTGTAAATCTATTGCATTCACTCCAGATTTTTTAAGTAAATGTCTGATTAGTGCTTCTCTATGGTTCACGAGTCTGATGGGCGTGTCTCATAAAGCAAATCCAACAGTTTGCAGACTTTCATCGACATCTGCCTCTATTTGATACTGAGGGATATATGGTTAGCCAGTAAGGATAAACAACAAGGAGCTGTGGCTAACGACAAAGGCCTATAGCTCAACAAATATGCAAAGGGAAATTTGGACGGGCATACATAGGCGGAGGAGTTTCTAAATGAAATCACTCACTCAGACCTAGTGACAAGTTTGGAGTCCATTACTGAAATGGAGGGGATCATGTGAAGGAATTAAGGCTTGCAAACAGTGGTCGATCACCTGATTGAAGAGATCCGAATTCACTGGGGAAAAGTAGCCAAAATCTGGTATTACATCGACAATGCAAGAAATAAATAGTAATATGTGTGCGAGTAGTATGGACAAGTCTCAAGCGGAGTTTAAATCGAGACCCTGTGTTCAAACTAATACTGTGGTGAGTTAGGGCAGAGGCGCGGTGGCTCAGGAAAGTTTCCGTTTTATGAAACTATCCTACCAAGTTCGATAATACTCCGCTATCTAAGATACCGTCAGAAGATGCAATTCAGCGTCTTTACCTGATGATTCGCTTCAAATGCATTTCAAAAGCAAGGAAACAGTATTTCGTTTCAGTTGAACGCAGTCGTAGCAATTCACCTGTAGGATTAGGTCGAAATAGTAGTAGGGGGAAGAGACGGAAGTTCCACCAAGTGACATGCATAATACCTGTGAGCTTTTGGTCTCCGATACGGAAGCGCCCCATGGTGTGGGTAGTGGCTCCACTGTACCTGCGATGAAAGTATTCCATTGAATTAAGACTTATATACACTAAATAATTAGTGTTCAAAGTTGAAGCACATCTATTCAGCCCGCTAAAATAACTCTTCTTTACTAGGGGGGCTACCAACGGGAAGCCTAATACAAAACATAGAAAATGAAAGCAAGAAGGGGGTAAGGGTCGTCGAAATGTCAGCGTTTAACGGCAACCAGTTTAAAAAGCCCTAGTGAATCGGCTGACGAACCATGAAATGTAGTGAAAAACAATAATTATGGTGATAAATTGTGTGCTACTTCTTTCTTGCTAACTGACATGGAACTGTTTGTGCAAGAATTAGTTAACACAGAAGGGTGGGACTGAATGGAGTGTTTACCCCAATGGAGAAATATCGCCAACCACAAGACGGGATCTAACTCATAACTATGGTACATAGTGTGCTGGAACTTGCGGCACTATATGGTTTAGCGACTGTAGCTACCCAAATACACGCCATTGTAGCAGCTGGTACCTGCGAGCCACATAAACCGCTACATGTACGCACACTTTATGCATTACGACAGTAAATTCTGGATATCTGCGCATGTTGAAGAAAGCATATGACTTAAGGTAACATGAGCAGTAACATCTCGTGGTGTAAGGGAAAACCTCGAGACAGTTTACTTTGAGACCCAAAGACCTCGTGATCATATGATGACTATAAGTATACCCAAACAACGACTGAATGTCAAGCGAGGAGCAAGCCCAGCTACAGCAGAATTGAAAAGAGGGATGGAGGAGGAGAGCAGTGTCCACAAATATTGAGGTGCAATAAAACTTTGTCTCCAACTCAATGTTAACCTCGCACGATTATGCAGTATGGGATCATGAGCTAATGTATAGAGGAAAGTTGAGCACAAGCTGCACCTACGCATATGCAATGGAATTCACCAAACTTATTTGCTGCAAAAGCGGGCAGCTAATTACAGCTACATTTAGTCATTTGAAACAGTTATTCAAAACACATGCACAATCCTACTTAAGACTCTATATTGTCGTTGTATTTCCAATCCTAAAAAGTGGCCAATCACTGGGAGAAGGCATAACTATCTCTGGCCACTGCTTTCGCCTCACTCGTGTCAAACTGAGTCCTCATGTGGTGTGTGTTGCAAACTCATTTGCTCCATCGCTTTGGTCTTGAGAGTGAAAAGGTTAAGATAATGAATATGTTAAGTTTTGACCACACGAACTCTATGACCTTCATATTTGTTTTAATGTTCCATTGTAAGTTTGTCGTCCAATCAGATTGGCCGGCTTTGTTGTCGCGCCCTGCGAGCGTTATTCAAAATGACGAAAAATGTAGTTAAGGTAACTTGTTCACCTGCGTACAAATCAAGTAATGGTCAGCCTATTCACTTACATATACCTGGAGATACACCGATTCACCTTCACGTTAATCAGAAAACCCAAGTATCTCGACTTCCAGAATCTGGAAATGTGAAGCTAACTGACATTGGTCCATATCAGGCACCATGGGTGCCGCCACCAGCGAAGACCAGTTCAGGCAAGTTTGTATGGATTAAAAGCAGGAAAAGATTAAAATTTCTAAGTTAGTGAGACAGGAACATTCTCGCTTCATATACCCTGTATTATTAATCATACAAGGAATTACCTTAATTACATGCACTAGTCTATATTGGTTGTTCTAACTGTGGAACAATTTTTTCGTGTGTTTTTTTAGTAAAGTAGTTTAAACTGGCAAGTGGATGTTAAAACACTATTCCAACTCTATATAGTTATATATAATTGATTTACATGCAATGACAAGCACTTCTCCTATTTTGAGATTAACTTTTTATATTTAGAACTATATACGATGTCATTATATCACTATGTGACAGAGTGAAAGCGAACTAGAAAGACTTCCAAAACCCATGAAAGGAAAAATAGAGAATGTGAGCGATCTTATTACATAATGATCAGCATTTCTTGTCGTTAATTAATATGTAGTCACAGCTTTCTGCTGTCTTTGAAATGAAAACTAAAAATCACTCAGTTTGTGTTTAGATGAATAGGTGTAATGGTTGGTAGCTTTGTTAACTGACCACCTAATACTTAACATTTCACTCCTACAGTAGTTATCATGGTTCCCAAACTAAACAAACTACTTGAAATGCAACCTTATAAGACTAATTATTTTACCTTGTCCAGACTCGAATACGTAAATTAGCCATATAAGCTGACATCTGAAGGGATCTAGACTGAGAACTGTACACTCGAAAGTACAGTTCATAACTAGAAAATTTCACGCACCATCGTCATTTTATCGGTGACTTTGTCAGTGTACTATGTGGATATGAGGAATAGATTTTATGGAAGACTTTGACACTGACTTCTAGATATTCTTAATTATTAGGTTACCTTAATCGATGTGTGCTGAATCGTGTGGTTATGGTGCCATAGATCCCAGAAAAATGATTTCATCTTACAAGAAGTCTGCAATTAAGAAGCTGCACGAGAAACTATCAGTTATTATAACTTTTTAGTTACGTTGCTTGTAAACGGCTTGTGTGAGACACAGTTTTTGTGAGGAACACTCACAACGCGTCAGTCAGATAAATCAAGCTTCAGGCTAAAAGATAATACAAGTTAAATAGATACAGTCTCAAAATGGTTAGACTGAGGTTTGTAGAATCATGACGAAGACATGGTTCATTAGCTTTGACTGCCTGCACTAAAAAAGTGGTCCTGTCTAGTTTACAAGAATGTAATCTCAAATAAAACAATATATATGCCTTAGAAAAACAAGTGTCACATTTTATTAAGATAAAAGTACTTCATATATATATATATATATATATATATATTCCTTCACGTTCCCCAGTGGAACACTGGGCTTCAAGCTAGTGGCTTAAAGTTTCTGTAGCAGAGTTTATTTTACAGGATGGGGTTGCCAGCCTCATGCTCAACCTTTCCTCTTTACCAGCATTATTTCTAGCTTAGCGAGGTTAAGGAGTGCGTCAGTGGCCGGGAATCGAATCCCGGACCACCTGCATGGTCGGCGAGCGTCCTAACCGCTATACTACCGGCGCTGTCTGAGCAAAACTCTAGAAGACGATCACCGTTGTCGGTTCGTCGGCAGGGAACTCCATACGTACCACCTACATACTTCTCAGTCTGGCACAACTGCCCTACTTGGGCATTGAAGTCGCCTGCCAAAACAACTATATCTGAACGTTTTGCTTTTTGCAGCGAATTCGACAGTTTCAGGTAGAAGTCATCCTTTAGTTCATCCGAAATGCAGTCTGTTATGCCACCAGCATATATATATATATCCAAGCCTATTTTGGAATGCTTGACTATCACCACTTCACGTTTTGTAATGAGCTGTCCCAGCACCAGTCTAGTAGAAACAACATCAAAGCTGTTGCTGAAAGCTCTTCTCATAATTATCCAAATGTATGGAATATTTAGTCCGTTACTTAGGACGTTGTACTTAATTCCTCAATAAGTTAGAAGTTATTACTTTTTGAATAAAGCACATTTTTCGAATGTTATGAAGAAAAAGGTGATGGTAGGATGAGAGACTTTTAATATATATTTTAGCGGTAGGCTAAGGAAAGAGACAGTATTTAAGGGAACATAGTGAGCCTATTCAATGGTTTTATTAAATTGTTAAGGTGCAAGCTTTAGTATAGAATACAAAAAAATAACCTCATATTTCTGTTCGTGATTGTATTTGTATAATATTAGTGTGCATGAAAAGAGCATCTGTCAAGCTCTAAAGTAGTTAAACTCAGAGTTTTTGCGAAGAAAAGTAATACAGCTAAGAATGTTATGCGTTCCTCTACTCTGTTGCTTTACACGTTACAATTGCTGAGTTTAACATATGCAGAAATAGGATTATATATTAAACAGCAAAGAGAATTTGACTGCTAAATAGTCTGTTAATTTACTGACTATTGGTGTTGGTGTACATGCAGAATCTGCACTTTTACTAATGGTTGATGTCGGTAATTGTCTATAAAAACTCAGTATGATTCTATGATTACTGGTTTGAATTATCCTTTTTTGACCAGTTAGCTCACTTAAACTGGTGAATGCTTATCTACACCTCTTTTTGACTGTATTAAATACACAGTATCGTTGTCATATCTGTAACGACTGTTTAACAAAGCCATGCATCTTAAACATCGCTTTTGGTCTTTATTTTTTCCCTTTGGTTAAATGGATTAATATCAAAATTTTTAGAAAAGAATTCATTAGCTACTTCTGATGACTAAAATAGCTTTCCTTCGTTCAAATATATATTAGTGAATATATATATATATATACCGTCATTCATATATGTTACAGATATCATTTTATTATATGTCTCAGTTTTAAAAATTTGCTTGACCGAATATACTTTATAGGTCGATTTTCATGTGATCCAGCACGTCGTGTCACTATAAAGCCTGACAGAAGAAAACATCGATCACGCTCTGCAGAATCATTCAGTGAGAATTTAAATAAGGTAATTTTAATTGTACAATTTTTGACACTATTTCCAAACTACACCATTGTGGGATAGGTAATATATGCAGTTGTGTGTACATATGTGTTAAAGTCTTTGGCGTCTTAAATGAGACACACAAAACAATCAGCTACCAGTCTAGTCTGTTTTGATTATTAGTTCCTATATGTTTTGTAGAAGAGCAATAGGAAAAACACGCCAAAAATACATAGGCTTTGAACTGCCAGTCGTTTTCAGTGTGAAAGACTAACTGCGACATTGTAGCATGCGGAAAACTTCAACAGTTAGTATCTAAAGATCATATACTAATGTCAGTTATACAACCATGGAGTACTGAACAGCTGTTTCATTCTATTCCGGGACTTTTCTGCAGTACACCCATGTATTCTGACTTATAGTAGTTTGTGATTTTAGTGCACCCACTGGCCAAATTTCGTAAGCGACAACTAATTGCTTACCTGCGGTATCACCAAGGCATTGCAAATCGCACTTAAATTTGCAGATAAAAAGGGAATAATATACCTTGAAATAACACACAACACAAATATTTATTCAAGTGTTGGTTTGTAGAGATTTGATCGATTGGTTACAGGTTTTCACCATGAGCTGACATTGGTTAGAGAGCCAATCAAATCCCTACAAACCAACACTTGAGTATCGATGAGATGCTCACTACCGACTTGCCCTATTCAGGTAGGTAGTTACCTGGGGTTCTAGTGAGAAGTCGTGACCAGTAGGGTGCAGCAGGTCGGGTGTGAGGACAAATACTCGCCAAATACATTTGCTAGCGGTTGCACTATATCGTGAATTGGCAGAAGTTAGAATTCATGGGCTGGCCATTGGGTCGGGTCCTAGTGGCTTAATGCTATACGAGATCGCCTTGTAACCAGAAGGCCCTGAGTTGAAACTCTGTCGGTGGATGCGTACTGGTGAAGAGTCCCAAACTAGGACGCGGGAAACAGCTGTCCAGTACTCCTAGGTTTTTCAGTGGTTCTCTAACCACTGTCCGCTCATGATGAAATCTTGTAACAAATATTTATAATTTAGAGTGAATCGAGTTAATTAGACACAAAAACAATGTGTGTGTGTGTGCCTGTAAGCTTAACAGCTTATAATTGAGCAATTAAGTCAGAGAAACACACTGTTGAGAAATTAAAACCAGAAGATAGTGGAAGTGAACTGAACATAGTTTGTCTTGGTAATGCAAATCCGTTTTTGGGATTCAACAACTTTTAAGTAGTGAGTTTTACATTCAAATCATATTCACCAGCTGTAGATTGAGTTACCAGTTCTCATACAATTGGTGCCTATAATTACCATGAACGTGAATACACATATGTTGGCTGAGCTACAGTATAAATAAATGAGTAAAATATTAATTCAGTTAATGAAAACCACTTAGTTGACTGAATTATTCAAATCTTCACTATTGATTACCTGACTGAATAATTTTTAATATAGAACTTTACACAAAAAAGTGTACCAGTTCAAATTGCCATCCATTAAAGCGAGAGAGCGAAAAAAGAGACTGAAAAGAACTACAATAAGCAGATGTGAGGGAGAAAGACTAGGAACACGGATAAGCATGATGGTTTAATGGAGATGGGAGGTCACAAGGGCCAGATGATCCATATCACCAATGATCTCTAGCCATTGTATCTTAGCATCCCGAGGACCCCAGCCAGACAGTCTACCTATCTCTCTACATGGCTGGCTTAAACCAACAATCAAAGACTTAAAAGACTAATCCCAGGTGTTAGTTTGGCCACCGATTACTCTTCTTCATCCCATGTCAGCTAACCATTGCTCGTTAAGGAAGGCATTAGCACAACCTCATCGACTGATTTCCTTTCCCTACCTAGCACTTTACGCCTAACTTTGACATTACTCACTATGTTAGGTACAGCGTAAACATCTATAGTCAAAGAGACACAGCCCTTTCATACCTACCACTTTCAATATCCATGTCTTACAGGTATAAAAGAGGACAAAGAGAATTGCTGTGCAGTAAAAGTACACAAAAAAATTTCAGTTACTAATTTGTAGGGATTTTGTTTGATTGCATGCAGGATTTCATTATGAGCTGACATCAGTTAGAGAACTACTGGAAAACCTGGGAGTACTGGACAGCTAGCTGTTTCGTCCTAGTTCGGGACTCTTCATCAGTCAGCACGCAGGACAGCAACACTGTACTCTTTGGTGTTGCAAAGAGAACCTTAATCTGATTTTTTTATTTTACTGTTTCCACTCACTCAGGTTTTATTCTTCTAGGGAATAAAACCCATTTTCCTAATTTTTTTTTACGTTTATATATTAAGGTTAGTCCTGCTGAATTAAATGAGGTCGAATCTGACAAAGAAGTACACATTGAATGTCCAAAAGAATGTATTTCATGCAAAACAATATCCAATGAAGAACAACTACTACACACTTCTGATCAACTCAAAGATACGCCAAAATTGTGTACCCACATATATGGAAATAGTCGGCTATTTGAAGGGGATAAACTAGCCACCAATGAGGCGTCATTTTGTACTAGTTCACTTCTAGACGAATGGATTAAAGATTTGGATAATGCAGTTAGTCGTGTTGCAAAATCAGCAAGAAATATTGTTGACTGTATTGAACAGGTGATGAATATACTTTGTTTTCAGGTTAATTATTTTACCTTTCACGTTTTTTCTTGTTGTTGTTGTTGATGAATTTCGACTGTAATGTTCAGACCCCCCTAGCGAGTACAGACATTTCGACTATGGTAAAAGATTAACACGGTGTTTTTTGGTTGGTGGTAGCTAGCAGTGGAATGCAGAGTACACATCCCACCCTATTTGGGATTCGTCAATTAGATGTGCGCCTATATTCTTCAGTGAGCGATATTGTTCTGACTGAGACTTGAATAATAACTGTGATACTCGTTTTACAACAAGTGAATGTAATGATATAATGGGTAGTTCTTTAGCGTTTTCAACTATAAGTGCAGGGTTCGAGCCTCGGTGGGAACAACATCACACTGGGGATGCTAGTTGATGAGTCCCAACTAGGACTGCTAGTCACCATCGATCAAAATAATTTCAGGTGAATACTTTGTCGTTTAAATTAGCCGTGGATGCTTTAGCAAATAAAAATATTCATCTTACGGAGAACAAGATTTTGCCAAAATGATAGCAGAGCTATGACAGAATTTTATTTTTCGTTCCTTAAGTTCTGAGTGGAACAAAAGCTGTCACTGCTCTGAAATGAGACAAAGATGCGAGACCCAGTGGAATGGATTTAATTTAATGTATTTAATTACGGTGGAGACAGTCTACAGTCTGCGTTAACTAAGTTATTAGGCAGCGTATAGGAATCAGAGGAAGTCACATCGGGTTGGTGTAAGTCATTGATTATCCGGATATACAAGAAGGAAGACAAGTCTTCGTACGATAATCACAGAAGGATTGGCTTGACTAAAATTATCTAAAGTTCTGGGTTCAATAATCATGAGTAGACTAAGCGGTCCACGGGGGGAACAAACACGAGAGAACCAGATAGGCTTTAGACCAGGAAGAGGGTGTATTGATCATATCTTCACCCTTCGACAGATTCTGGAACAACATCAACATACTCACCGGCGTTATATTTCTTGACCTAAAGGCGGCATTCCATTCTGTCGACCGAGAGGTACTGTGGCGATGTTTGGCTATGAAGGCAATGTCGGGGAAATACATTGTACTGATCAAGGCACTCTACTCGAACTCATGTAGCCAGGTAAGAGCTTATGGCGAGTTGTCATCTGAAGTGGTGACAACTAGCGGTGTCTGTCATGGATGCTCACTGTTCCCATTTCTACTTAACTTCATCATAGATGACTCTAACTCACTTCAATGACGAATGGATTGAATTAGAATATGCAGATGATCTAGTCCTTCTAGGTGAAGACGCAAACAAAATACAGCACAGTCTTCTGAACACCTTGGGCTGCAATCTTCGAATGTTTGGCATGCGATTAGCTCCCGCCAAATGTGACATGATGTTACAGGACTGGACTACAGTGACTCCTAGTTTAGAAATAGGGAGTGAAGTGGTGGAGCACGTTGAACGCTTCACTTTTTTGGGAGGTTACATCAGCCCCAACGGGTTGATCTCTGATGAAATCTCAGCACGGATACAAAGGTCTAGTTTCCAATATTCCAGTTTACGCCGTCTCTGGCGTAGACGAGATATTCGACTATCGACCAAAGGGTGGGTGTACTTCTCAGCAGTCCGCTCCGTCCTCCTCTATGGCTGTGAGACCTGGCCATTGAGAGTGGAAGACATGAAGAGAAAGCTTTCTTCGATCGTAGGTGCCTGCGTGGTGGTATAATAGGGTGAACAATATTGAGGTTAGGCTTCGGTTGAGTGCTAGGAAGGTGGGAGGGGAAATCAATAGACAAGGCTGTGAAGCTGCATCGACTGAGATGGTTAGGACATGCTTTACGTATGCCTAGCCACCACCTCCCTCGACGGGCAATATTAGCTGACATAGGGTCAGGCTGGGAAAGAGCCAGTGGTGGTCAAACCAAAACATGACTTCATCAGTAAATGAAATCCCCAACAGTTAGTTTAAGCCAGGCAGCCACGTAGGTGCAGACCTCCTGGTTCGCGTCCTCGGAACGGTAAAAACCAAGTTGAATGTCCCTAACTCAAAAAAACAACAACATGAAAACTAAATAAAAATGAACACTATAGTACTATGTGAAGAAGGACTATAACTTCCAAAGAATACAATAAATATGCTTAAATATTATTTTAATGCATAATTTATAGGTTGCATATGAAGGTAGACGTGTTGATTCACACGACATGTTACGTCTTGTGCAACCAAGAGATGAATTACTGTTACAAACTGAAATTGCTGGACGCGCAGGACGAGAATTATGCAGATGGGCGTCAAGTGTTCAACAACAACAGAATGAAATTTTAGCCAACCGATTATCTCAAACACAAACACGTGAAGCTAATCTGACTGCTGAAGTGAAACGTTTAACAGAAAAACTGGATCGAATGGGTAAGTAGTTAGTAGTAATGCACCACCAACACGCAGATGAGTATATACCAGAAGTTTTGAATGAATGAATCACTTTAAATCCCTTTAAACCGACACGTGAAAATCAATCTGATGTCCACTGGGTCGGGGACAAATACTTTTTGATAGCGTGGGGGCTGAAAATCGCGAATTCGTGACCTATTGGATTTAATTCCAGTAGCTGAATGATAGACGAGGTCATCTCGTAGCCTGAAGGTCTTGGATTCTATCCCCCGCAAGGTAATGGGTGCGTGGTGATCAAGAGTCCCATAACTGAGACTTTAAACAATGCTTAGTCGAATTCTTTCGATGACGAAAACTAACCACTAGCCTGATGATGACAGACTTGCATGCACTGATAAGGGCCACAGACGCCAGAAAAATACAAGTAAAGGTAGAGTAATAAAAGTTTGTGTTGTCAAGCGGTAGCTCAAACGTGCTTATTTTTATTACTCTTGAGTAAATTATTGTGATTAGTGCGAAGTGCTTAACGTCAATCCACAGAAACTACTACACCTGAAGTGAAATGAATTGCCTACATTGAACTTTTATACAAAAATGCAGTAATTCAAGCTACCACACTTAGAAGTAGCACGCATAAAAGTAGTAAAGAGAAGAATATATAACACCATTTGCACGAAAATGTACAGGTAGAAGCATAATCCGATGAAGATTAGAGAAAAAAATCCCCATTTAGACATGTAGAAAACAGAAAGATTGAGCCAGCGAAGAAATATTTACTTTTCAATCAGATCCTCATCTCACCCTGGCTCTACTCTAATATATTCTGTATAGCATTTTTATTACAATACACAACAATTTACCAATCAAGTGGCACTGATATGTTTGTTAACAATAATTAGTCAGTGTCAACATGTCAATGGGATGATAATTAACAATCACACTTAAAAGGTAGAAATGGTTAGAATAAATTAGTTTTACAAGGATAACAAGTAATTAAGGATGAAGTGGTCAGAAAAAATTATAAAATAATTTGGACAATTATAATTTTTATAATTTTAAAGGTTTAGGGGGAGGGGGGCGAAGTAGTCTGATTTATACATTCGTGTAACGATGGCCAATGTAAGGAAAGTGGCTGTACAAATTTCTTCTGAGCACACAGGTTTGGCTTCTTCTTCAGGTGGATTCCTATTGCTTCAGCTATATGTAGAAGACGAACTCGTAGAGCAAAATTAAGATTAGTTGGAATGCGATAAATAATTTTAAATGCGGTATTCACATCAACCTTATGCTCACTATCTACAAGGTGTGCTAAAACAAAGCTAGCTACGAATAGATTTTGTTTGTCCCTTGCTTAACCATGTTGGATGATGTTCGGAAATACGATGATGAACCTGTCTAATTGTACACCCAATGTAGATGGCTCCGCATCTGCAGTCAAACTGGTAGATACACATAGAAGAGGAGGCAAATTTAAGTAGTTTATCCCTATCACTCGAACGTAGAATAGGGGTGGTTGTGAAGAGACAACGTACCTCTGCTGCATAATAAACTCTTTTAACTGCATTCTTCGGGCGCTGTGCTATTATTTCGCTGATGTTATTTGTCACCGAGGAACTGCAGTTTTATGAACATTGGTGTTTTCGGAACTGTTGCCGTACTGATTCTCCTAGGTGCTGAATTTCATGTTTTTCTCAATGAATTTATCTCGATATCCATTTTTTTCTAAGTAATTCTCTGATTTGTACAGCCACTTTCCTTACCTTGACCATCGTTACACGGATGTATAAACCGGATTACTTCGCCCTGCCCCTCCACCTAATCCTTTACAATTATAAAAATTTTAATTGTCAAAATTATTTTATTTTTCTGACTAATTCATCTTTAGTTACATGTTATCCTTGTAAAATTATTTTTTTCTTATGACCACTTCAGCCTTAGTTACAAGTTATCATTGTCCAAATCGTTTTATTTTCTTTAACAATCTGTTGCGTAATAAACCTGTGCACACGTTTATTCCTTAATTACTCTTCATTTTTCCAATCCACTTGTTGCAACCATTTCTTTCTATAGTTTGGATTGTAAGGATTAGTTATGTTTTACGAGTTGATCACGGATTGATATTTCTACCTTTTAACTGTGTGTATTGATTTTCTTCGATAACTATCAACCCATCGACATTTTGACACTGACTAATTATTGTTAACAAACATTTCAGTGCCACTTGATTGGTAAATTGTTGTGTATTGTAATAAAAATGCTATACAGAATATGTTAGAGTAGAGCCAGGGTGAGATGAGGATCTGATTGAAAAGTAAATATTTCTTCGCTGGCTCAATCTTCCTGTTTTCTAGAAGATTAGAGAGGAGTTTTGGAATCTGAATGTTAACAAGAAGTGAATATATATATCTGCACCACTGAAAGAACAGTTTTCAACCATCTCGGCAACAGTGTCCGTCCAACTATTGATTCTCAGCATCTCCACAACCTCAGGTGTCTCAAATCAACATTGAAAGACTGCATAGATTAGTGTCACAATTTTGTTTGACTACCTCCAGCATAATCATAGTTCGAATCGTTGAGGAGGAAGTCAGTGCTTAGAATAAGTAACAAACGACCAAACCATCACAATCGATAGAGTTTCACAACCTTAGCATACCAATAACCTCAGTTTTGTTGACCATTTTAGTACAACTTAATAAAATCCGCTACATTTTCAGTGGGATGACAGAGTTAACCAGTGCACATTTCAAGTGTTCTTAGCTTGATATCACGTATGCGCTGAAAATGACACAAGTTGGCATAAGTTACACGAGCTTTTTGTATTTGTGCTGAGATTTCATCAGCAATTAGTCCATTTGAGGCTGATTTTTTTCTCTAGTTTTTTTTAGATTTTCCATTACGTTCCCAGTGGAACATACGGCGCCTTCAAGCTAGAGGCTTAAAGATTCTGTAGCAGTGGTGATTATTTTTACAGCATGGGAATGCTAGCCTCATGCCCAACCTTGCTTCTTTACCAATCTTATTACTGGTGTAGCGAGGTAAGGGAGCGCGTCAGTGGCCGGAGATCGAACCCCAGACCACATCCGTGGTTAGTGAGTATTCAACCGCTGTGCCACCAACGCACATTAGAGGCTGATACAACTTCCTGAATAAGTGAAATGGTTGAGCGTGTCGACAATTTCACTCCTTATCCTTAAACGTGGAGTCGATGAAGACGAGTTCTGAAGCAACATCTCACATTCGATCGAGGCAAATCGTATGCCAAGCATCCTGAGATTCTTCATCACAGTGTTCTGAAGGCTCATCATTCTCTGTCGTCTCCACTTAGAAGAAGAATAACATACACTACACCAAATCGTTGAGAGCCTTGAAGAAGTGTTACAATTACAGGTGAAAGGGTTTCTTATCTCTTTGTTTGGAGGGGTAGATCAATTAACTTAGAAGTGAGTGTTTTGATTGGATACTAGTGGCCAGTGCGATGTGTCTAGTCCTTACTTTGGTGCAAACTGAATTCTATCAGTCAGTCAGGTTTTGCAATGTGACCACCATTCTTGGTAGCTCGCCATTACGGTGCACATTGATTTGATGATATTAGGTAGTTGGAGGTAATCGGCCACAGGAAGCCTTGAACCTAGGTTTCGTGCTAGTTGCAAAACCTGACCGATAGAATTCAGTCTGCACCAAAGAAAGGAACCAGACACGTCACACTAGTTACTGACTAGTGTCCAATCAAAATACCCACTACGGTCCAACAGGAGGTCAATCGCCAGCCACCTCGAATACCTCAGTGGTAACGTCTCTGATTGCAGCACCGGGTAACGCGGGTTCGAATCTTAGAAGGGACATGAGTTGCTTCAAGGTTGCAGATATGCCTTGCTGATGAATCCCAACTAGCACAAAACCTAAATCAAAGGCTTCCTGTGGCCGATTACCTCCAACCATCTAATGACTTGAAAGTGAGTTTTTGTCACATACCAACGATACCTAGTAAAAGACGTTGATAACTAAGGATCTTTATGCCCACAGAATCGTATTATTTAGTTACGGTCACCTACAGACCCGTGATGAATCGAATGGGAATTCATCATGGTTTCTGTGTAAACATTGAAATGTTCATTAACTGGGTAGGAAACCAGCGAGTGATCTATGACTTCCAACTGAGGTGATTTTTTTTTCACCAGACGTAGGTTTGTTATAAAGAATTTCCTATCTAGTGAATTATTTCTCTCTATAGTCACTGAAATATTTGATCACTCGCTCACATCAGTTAGAGAACCAGTAGAAAACCAGGTAGAACTGGGCATATGTTTCGTCCTACCTTACAACTCTCCATCAGTACGCACCCACCAGGGGTTCAAACCCAGGAACTTCCTGTAATCGGTGGAAATCCCTGATAATTTACCTAATGCTCACTAGCGACTGCCTCTGTATAGGAAGTTACCCAGAGTTCTAGCCAAAAGTCGTGACCAGCGGGGTCCACCACGAAGTCAGGTAAGAGAACAGTTACTGGTGATTGCGACGAAACATCTGACCAGTACTTCCTGGTTTCCAGTCGTTCTCCAACTTTTTATGTCAACGCTTGTGATCTAAACAACCAATCAAATCACTACAAGGTGGTGCCACTTAATAATAATAATAATAAACTTTTGTGTATTACCCAACCAGTGTTCACTTAATCATGATTTGTTTGTTTGTATTGTAAATACTTTCCTTTTTTAAAAAAAATTTATTAACACAGAAATCGATTTAGAAGTAGCTCAAAAGCAATTAAATGAACAACAAAATGAAAGTTTGAAGTATAACACAGTTCATGAATCTATGGAAAGTGTTAAGGGTCATTTACAACGTCAACTACGACAACGTGATTCAGAATGTAGTCGGTAAGATGTTTTTTTCCCATGCAATATTCACAGCTTATTTTGGACGATTTTCTGGACTCCACATCTTTGTTTGTGCTATTGTGCTTCAAGATCTGAACTTCTATGTAGAAGTTTCTTATAGTAGTACGCTAGTGTGATACCTGAATTCTCGGTGAAGCATCCTCTAAGTAAAACAGCAACGAATAGACATCAGGTAGAGAACCATTGGAAAGCCAGGGAGTACTGGACAGTAGTTTCATCCTCCCAGAAATACGCACCTACCGGGTTCAAACCGAAGACCTTGAGATTATAAGACGAGCTCCTAAACTAATCAGCCACTGGGACGGTTGATCCAATAGTCCATGAATTCCAGCTCCTGCTAGTTTGTGCATCGGTGGCACAGCGGTTATGACTCTCGCCGACCATGTACATGGTCTAGGGTTTGATCCCCTGCTGACGCACACCTGATATCAATGGTTGGCCTGCAAAATTTAGGCTACCGATATCACATGCTGAAAATTCCATACCTGTACCAATAATTACTGTGTGGAATCAAGCTGTAATCAACCATCAGCCAATGTTGTGGGCGAGCAGCTGTACACTTACCTGACTTGGTGGACCCCACTAGTCACGAATTCTCATTAGAACTCCAGGTAACTTCATGTATGAAGCCATTCTCTCTAGTGAGCATCAGATAAATGTTCAAGTGTTAGTTTGCAAGTACTTGATTGGTTACAGGTCGCTAATAACCTTGTGACTAAACCCCTCTAACCAATCAAATCCCTGCAGACCAACACATGACATTGACTTAGACTGAATTATGGTGCTGCCTTGCCACAGTCAATGAAGCATAGAGCTTACAGTTTAGCTATTCAAGTATCTGCCTTTCTGTTAAAAAAAAGACGTCAGTCAAGTCGAGGTTTAGGCGAACCCTCAACAAAACGAGTAACAATATACAAACAGCCAATCACACTTACCTTACTGCATATTCAATTAAATAACTACGGGGGAAATTTTGTTTCATATTATCTTCTATCTACAGATTGTCTATTCAAGTACGTAATTTAGAAGCACGTCTAGCTGAACAACAGGCTCAAAATCAAGTTCGACTAGAAACAGCAGAAGCTAATTTAGAACGTATGCGAGAAACAAAAGAAGCCTTAAAACGAGCCGCTAAATCACAGAAACGTCGTGCAGACGAGGCTGAAGAAGCATTTCGTGAAATCTCACATAAACTAGCTACTCAAGAGTCGATTATAGCTGGTTTTCGGGTAAGAAAAGTATAGAAGTCTATACATTTAGGCTGAACATTGTGATTTATTTTTATCTTTAAGATGTTAAATTCGTTGTTTGTATGAAATGAACTTTTTTCTATCCATTAATATTACCTAGAGCTTCAATAACACATCTCCATTTCACTATGTCCTCCTACCGTTCAATTGAATTCAAGCTGAGACACCCTACTCGTCATTTCCTATTCACATTCCATACAACGATCTACTCAGTGTATGTTCGGTCCATATTTATTTACTTCAGCAAGTCTATTATCCGATAAGTCCCTGATCTCTCATTTATTCTACAGTATGAAGCGAAGAGGGCAGCTGTTGATGAAAGTTTGCTGTAGCGTGTTGGAAATGACCTTGGTGAAAAAATGAGGATTCTTTTTTCAGCATGCTAAGTGCAACAGATTTCCAAACTGGTTTCAGAGTGATGAAAGTCTGCCTTGTCTTTCTTCCGATTGTGACTAGCTTTGACATCCTGTGTTGATAGATTGAATACTGACCGCAGGTTGGACTCCATTATAAATAAAATTTTATTTTGATAAGTCACACAGTGTTGTACAGCAATATTAATTGATGACAACGTTTCAAGTACAACTGATTACTGCTCATAATCATATCAAGTTACTCACACAACTTTATAACTTCATTTATATACATGAGTAAAGTCGATTAGATATTGGAATAAAAATCAATATGAGATAATGTACATTCAGAAATATTAATAATGCGAGTGTTATTGATCAATTACAATGAGATGGGAAATAAGATGAGTGTTTTTATAGTCAAAATAAGTAACTTGTTAGTATGTTGTGATGTGCTTGAAATCGAAATCGAATTTTAAGATTATTTATTATCCTCCTGTGATTTGACTGACTGGTGGTAATAATATCTTCCATATTTCTGATATTTGCATTGAGTCATTTCTGTTGCATGTGTTGTGTTGAGTGTAGACTCAATGAACCAGGATTCAGTAATCAACCTCTCTCGCCCTTCACCTACCTAGATTAGTTTTTAGAATCTTAAACCTCTTCCACTCTATCGTGTGGTTGTGTATTAATGCATGCAGCGCAATGTAGTGCTGAGCTTTTTTCTAAATTACTTATCTTGTCGGGGTCAACCATTCTCACTTTAGCCAAATTCTTATGTTCCGCCAATCTGATTACCCCTGACCTATTAGCTTGACCTATGCAGTTGACGTCACTCACAGTCATTGCAGGATATTTTGTAAATTATATTATTTTGTCTAATTGGGTCCGCCGGGTCTTTTAGCCTACAGAGCCTGTCCGCCCTGAGTGAGTTTGTAGATTTGAATGCCACCAGCCTAATTCCTATTTTATTAAGAATCCTACCACGTAGGGTCTAAGATGTCCCCTCCTTATATATGGTATAACAGTAGATGACTTATATTCTCTCTCATGTAGGTTATCACTACTAGTTTCACAATTATTTTTATTTCCCATCTGATTGTATTTGATCAATAACACTCATATTAGTATTTCTGAATGTACATTATCCTATACTGACTTTTTTCAAATATCTAATCAACTTCCCTCATGTATATAAATGAAACGAGAAAGTTGTGTGAGTGACTTGATATGATTATGAGCTGAAGTAATAATTTGTGCTCGAAACATGGTCATCAGTAAACATTACTGTGTAACACTGTGTGATTTATCAAAATAAAATCTTATCCATAATGGAGTTATACTCTACCGCCACATTGCCCAAGTTTTATACTTATAGCAATGAATATCAATGTGACACAGAAAACTGAGCATAATATTATTATCCCCTGTCTCGTGTTTTACCACTTGCCACATAATACTTTTAAAACCAACATAATATAATAATATACCAATATATAGCTCTAAAATCTCTTCAGCATCACTAAGAATAAACAGCTTAGGCTTTTCTACGCTGATGGATTCAACTTTGAAACTGGTATGGAGCTGCACTGTGTTGGCAAGCTACCAAAAACTAATTTCAAAATATAGATTTCGAGTAGTCTTTAATTTCACAGTTATTTTCTCTATTCACATTGAGATAAAGCCCCCCAGTGGTTAGGACTATCGCCGACCATGCACATAGTCTGGGGTTCGATCCACTGCTGACGCACACCTGATATCGATGGTCGACGTGGAATATTCGGGCTACCGATATCATATGCTAAAAATCTCATACTTGTACCAAAATAGTGTGTGGTTTCAAGTTATAATCAAAAATTTTAAAAATTTAAATTATAAACTTTTTCTACTTCAAACTAATTCCAGGTCATGTGCTTCATTAGTTTACATTTATTTTATTTTTTTAATGCTGTCTAGGCAGAATTAGAAAACTCTAATCTTCGATCTAGAAGCCGTAGTCGAGAACGTCAGTTACATGATGATATGATAGGTGGTGGTGGTGGTGTATTTGATAGTAATGGCCTAACGAATGCGAATAAACCATCTGTATACACTGATAGTGATAAAGATTTAAGAGAGGTAAGTTAGCGAGAAAAAGCTGTAACACTGAACTCAGCAGGCTATTTACTAATGTCCCTTTTTTCTCATTGCTTTTCGCTCACAGTGGAACACTGGACTGCAAGTCTCAGCTTTAAACTTTCAGTAGCGACGGTGTTTTTCTTAACCCACCCTCTTTACTGGATTTACTACTACTTTAATTGGTGGATGGTGATTAGCAGTGGAATCCAGGATAACGTGCATTTCGTCCTATTTGGGACTCGTCAGCTAACTGGATGTACCTGCATTTCCCAGTGAGTGATAATGTTCCCACCGAGGCTCGAGCCCCAGTGCCCACTGGCTAGGCGAGGTTTAGGAGTGCATCGTCCGGGAGGAGATTCGAATCAGGACCATATGCGCATGGTTGGTGGGCATTCTACTACTATTCAGCCGCCGACAATCATCTCATTTTCTTTGAGTTCAACATTAGCGGACTAATGTTGTTTACATATTCATATAGATAACAGTGTTGAAGGAAGATCTGATTCATATCAAGAGTTTAAACCAGCGGTCCAGCTGTGTTTACTAGGTCTTAATTTCACATCAGTTACTATTGATTGGCGAAGTTAGAATTTAAGCATCAATAAGTACCAGTGGAGTGTGAGCCCCGCCAATGACCTTGAAACGCTCAATGAGCAAGTTAGTGAAACCTGGTAAATAATATTGTGGTCATGAATAAAATATGCTCAATGAAGTTTTATGCTGTTAAATGGGGGATATTTGACAAGTCTCACCAGGTTAGATTTAGGAAAGAGTTTAGGTTTAGGCTAAGAGTGGGTTAGGTCAATCTAATGACGGCTACATTATGATTGTTTCGAGTTAGATTAGGGTTAGTTTAGGGATATTTCTACGTTACGGTTAGATGAAGGAGAGATTGCCGGTTATTGTTAGGGCTAGAAAACCTATATAATTACCTGCATAGAATGTGGTTAAATTACTCTGTTGACACTCCAATTCAAAACTGAGAGGTATTTTTGTCACATTTCAGAGAACGGTATCCTGTTAATCAGTTTCGTGCCTTTTAATTCATTATTTTCATGAGTATATGCATTTTATACGCAAAAATCGCTTTTATCATATGGTTGGTGCTTTCAAGATCAATTATTCCTTTAGTACTTACTAGTGCTTAACATTTAAATTTACCCTAAGGGTTTTGTCCAGTTGTTATATAATGAAGCTGAGTGATGGTCAGGAAAGCTTTGTGGACAGTTTATGGGAGTGCGAGGGCAGTTATTACTTCCCAGTTGCCCACACCATGAAAGCTGTTCTCATCTTGGAGTACGTAAAACGGTAGGATGATCAATATTATACATGACCGCATAGCCCAGGGAACAACTCTTTGAGGTCCATCATACACATACACGCATGGGGCTTGTTTGAAATGGTTCTTGGCGTTGCATTCATGTTAAGATTTTACTGTTACAAGGTGAGTAGAGATGTACGACTTCTAGAGTCGAACTTTTCCAAACATCCACTTTCAGAGCAGACAGACCAGCATAGTGAAACAACTTTATATATTATGGTGGTTACTACTTTCGGTTTAACGGCTGTCGAAACGGCCTTTCTGGCATGGTAGTACCTACAGGAATATTAATTGTCGCCAGCGTAGTTCGTTGGGTCGAACCTTACCACTATCACGTTAATGTCGGGAAATCGTCATATTGTACTTAGCGCTGTTATGTAACATTGCAATAATGTTTATTTATTGAAAGGTTGGTTCACTCATTGTTATTAAACTGTGTCTGAGATAGTCTCAGTCAAAAGATTTTCAGCTGAATTGTAGACCCATTTTTCATTGAATTAACTTGTCCATGAAGAAAATAAAAGACAGATTCAGCCAGCGAAAATTTTCGCTATCGACGAAATCATCTTCACAGACTGTACTGTACAGTTGTATTTATACTTACAAAAAATATATAGTGGTCTATTATTGAGTAATAGGGGGTCACATAATTGATATAATTACTCAGAAGTGGCTTTAGAAGTGAAAATTACGTGGTACTCAACGATGGCACAAAGTTAGAAATTTGATAAGGTTAGAATTGCTATTGAGTGAGAATAAAGGTGGTAGTTGAGTGTCAATTTAACAAGTGTGAAGAGGGTGTGAAATCTACAGAAGGAGCATATGAGTGATAATAGTGAATTAATTAATAAAGCAAAAGCAAACTAAAAGTAAAATTACAGGGAACGACCAGTGAAAGGGTTAAGACCAAGGTAGAATAAGAGACTGGAAAGACTTTTTTCTATATACAGAGTTCGGGTTTGTATTGAAGAACTGCCAGCGCCTCCACCATACACAAAAGCTGGAACCTGACGCCCTTTGTATCATTTGGTCCCATCTTGTAGATGATCTCGAAAGACGACTCTGGTGGAGCAGCTACGTGGCCTGAATTCACCCAGTGCTTGAGAATTGAGCTAGTAATTGTCTTGCATTGTCCCTTTGCTAACCATGCTGGATAATGTTCAGAAATGCGTTGGGAAAGCGTACGCTTTGTACGAGCGGCCAATATGACTAGCTGCACACGAGCACATAAATTCGTAAACACACATTGAAGTGGTCCAAAGCGGCAGTTTATCTATAACACATCCATTTATTATTTGTTTGCTGCAGAAATTGATCACTAGCTCAGCCTTAAAAAAAGGCTTTTCTCAGTGATCCGCAATTCTTCTGGACCTCAGCTGGGGTATCACTTTTGAATTCAACGTTCCTTAATAGCAGTTCCTTCAGCACCGTCTGGGTTCTTTCAGGCTTTTCCCGATAAATCTTGGGGGATATCCATTCTCTTTGAGGACTAGTCTGAGTCGCTCCAGTTCGCCCCATCGATTGTATCACTTGAACATATCCTCCTTATTGTTGAGGATAAGGAATGGATCAGATTTTTCTTTCTTCTCAAAGGGACCCAATTATGGAAATTCGTGTACTGACCATTCCATGTTGGTTTCCTGTACATCGATCTTTGAAGAGAACCATCAGATCTCCTTTTTTTTATGAAAAACATCATAATTGACACTCTCAACTACCACCTTTATTCTCACTCAATAGCAATTCTAACCTTATCAAATTTCTATCTTTGTGCCATCGTTGAGTATCATGCAATTTACAACATTTAATTTTCACTTCTAAAGCCACTTCTGAGTAATTATATCAATTATGTCACCCCTCTCCTTATTACTCAATAATAGACCACTATAATATATATTTTTGTAAGTATAAATACGACTGTACAGTACAGCCTCTGAAGGAAGATGATTTCGTCGATAAAGAAAATTTTTTTCGCTGGTTGAATTTGTCTTTTATTTTCTTTATGACTCAATGGATATTTTGGGTAACTTGTCGATGCTTATTATATTCATCGTTGCTGGTAGATTTTTTCCACTTTGTTCTCTCTTTTGATTGAATCAAATTGATGGAAACAAAATAATAATAATAATAAAGGAGAATATCCGATTACGTGAAGTAGCCTTAAAATGTGAGCAAAGATTGCATACAGCTGAAGAAGAGCTAGAACGTTTACGAACAAATTTATCTAATTGTGAAACATTATTATATGATTATCATGGGGATGCTGCAACTCAAGCCAACCGATTACACACATTGAATGAACGCTTAAAGGTAAACAACAACAAAAATAATTGTTTTTCATTTTATCTTTCGTGTGCTGTTGTTGTTGTTATCGTTGCTTTGAGATTCGATTTTACCCAATAATTAAAAAAAAGTAAACAAAGAAAGCAATCGGTATGATGCCTTAGATTCAGCTTTTGTGTTGTTACATGTCATCCTGGATACAAGAAACTTTCTGGCAGTTTTGCTTTAGCCGTCTGAGCAACGCTATGATGTCGTCCCCCAACCCCTAGAATAGTGGCCATATTGCAAGCTTAACTGATAAAACTCACTGTGCACCAACACTAGGGATTATAGACACATTACATAACGCACTACCTAACGCCCAATCAAATTAAGGAATATTCTTTCCGATAAGTTTTTTCTTCATCAGGTTCTACAGTTATATACGATCACAGCATACTTGGACAGGACAATATACACATTTTCACAGCTCCGTTCCTACCAAGTACAAGAGAAATTTAGTGAAGATCCTCAGCCACAGAGTTGGAGTTGTGTGCTCAAAAGAAGTTAAATGAAGATGAATTAAGCATTGTACACGATACTTTGATCAAAAATAGCTATCCCGAGCCAGTTATATTGGCCGTTTCTCTAGAAACTTGATTTTTCGTGCTCACTCGAGAATATCTCCCACTATGGCTAAGTAAAGGTGTAGTGAAACCCATTAACAGTTCGATATTGGACCATCTGGTGCAAACTGGCCGGCCACAAAGCCAGCCAGTCAGCCAGCGTGGAAGAATCCTTCTCTATCATCATCTACCGGTTGTCTAATAAATTGTCAAAATGATCGAAGCACCGCATGCTCCAAACAACAGTGGCTATTGCGATTCGCCTGAAACAACTAGTTCCCTGCATTCAAAAGAAGCAAGTCCAGCTAGCCCCTACTACTGCCCCGGTCAGCCTTCAGTAGAGACTATAAATTCATCAATTTGTAACATTATCTATCTAATTCTTCTGACATTCAACTTATTTTATGTTGATGCTATTGAGTTGTAATCTGTCAATTACTATTGATTCGATGTTATTTAAACAGCATTCATGTTGTTCATAACACTAATTCATTCATTCTTTCACTATAATGTGTAGATATAACTGTAGAGCCTGATGATGAAGGAGTTATCGACAAAAGAGTATTCTTTGTTCAGTATCCACTTATGAAAGCCAGCAGATAAAAAGTCATTGACGATGGAGATTGTGAGCAATTCAGAAATCATGTTGCGAAAATTCCGTCGTTTGTAATTCTTATTTTAAAATTTGCATGTATTACTGTCAATGGTTTTTTTCTTAAAATTTACACATTGATGCCCCAACCGGGGATTGAAAACAGGGACCTTGAGGTTACGAGGCCAGCCTTATTGACCATTCCGACTACTGGGAAGCAATTCTGTGACCCATAAATTGCAATTTCGCTAAATGATAGAAAACTTCATAGAGAGAGAGAGGTGCACACTGATGAAAAGTCCCAAAATGGGACGACACAGGTGAACAGTACTCCCTGGTTTTCAATAGTGCTCTCTAACTGATATCAATCTATGGTCAAACCACCTGAGACCAATCAAATCCATGAAAATAACACGTGAAGATCAATACTTAGAGGTGTTCGTCAAACAGATTAGCCAACATACAATATATCAAAATGACGTCATCAAACAGAAGACTGAGGTCAGTGCCAGCAAAGCTTAGTTACGTAATATTTGGGGAGGGGGGAAGTCGTCTAACAACAAGAATTTAGAAGCAGTTGACACAAAATCTAAGCTTTCTTGGTTGTAATCGAAGAGCTAAGACGAAATCAAGTGCTCACTAATGACTGACTTCGGGATGAAGTTGTCAGCAGTTTGAGTGTTAATTCGTGACCAACTGGGTCGTCTACTGAGTCGTATGTCAAGACAAATACCCACCAATCACACTGGCTGGATTCGGTACTACGTATCGCGAATTCATGGACGCCACTGGACTCCGTCCCATTCGCCGAATAATCAATGAGATAAACTCCTAACCTGAAGGGCATGGGTTCAATCCGTGGTAGGATAATGAGTGCGTACTGTTGAAGAGCTCCCAAACTAGGACGAAACAGCTTTCCAGTACTTCCTGGCATTCAGTGGTTCTCTAAATGAAGTCAGTTCGTAGAATTTCAACTCTCTAAATCTGATCCTCTTTTTTGTATACTTTACTACTCCTCACAGAAAACTGAAGCTGATAGAGAACGTAGTCAAATTCAATTAGACGATGTAGAGAGAAGATTATTTGAAGCAGAAAATCGTAATCGTGTCTTAGAGAGCGCATTGCAAATGCAAGAAGCTAAGAAAAGCGATGACCGTACAAAGTCGAGTACACCAATTCACAAAACAACTTTATCATCACCATCGAAAACACTGGGTAAACACCAACAACAACAACCATCCAATCTCAACACCGATGACCATTCAAGTCAAAATATTAAATTAAATATAGACAGTGTAAGTTGCTATATTAATCTCTCATTATGCATGGATACAAACACTAGTCTCATACAAACGGTTCTCCCTTGGCTAATTTGAATTAAGAAAGAATAGACACCATATGTTTGCAGGATAATAAGAGCTCCTCTTAATTCATGGATTCTTGTCAACTAACTGCATATGAACTAAAAAATTTCAAAATTATGTTTAACTCTGAAATGATGTAAGTAGACAAATTTGCAGTACAATTAGACAAGAAGGTGGACACAGAGTTCAAATCTTGCATAGAAAAGACTGACTTTTTTTTTCTTTCACGTTCCCAGTGGAACATAGGGCTTCAAGCTAGTGGCTTGAAGTTTCTGTAGCAGTGTTTATTTTTACAGGATGGGGTTGCTAGCCCCGTGCCCAACGTTTCCTCTTTACCAGCATTATTTCTGGCTTGGCGAGGTAAAGGAGTGAGTCGGCTGGGGATCGAACCCCGGACCATGTGGATGGTCGGCTAGCGTCTTAACCGCTATGCCACCGATGCACTTCTTTCTTTGTTTAGCATATATTTATCATTCTGCTTGAAGGAAGGTTACGTGTTTTTTATGCAGGATTTCTAGTTCATGACGACACAGTTGACAATTAGGATCTCTCTTCTTAGCTGTATAAGGGTTTATGCTTCATTTATTGATTTTATTTAAAGAAATCTGTTACACTAGTGATTATCGAATATTGCTTTTTCACAGGTAACTCTGTTATCACAGTGTGTAATGACGAATATGTAGCTTCATGAGATAAACCAATTTGCCATAAAAACACTGAGTTATATACATTGGGATCTAAGATTTATGATTGTCTATTTATCGATGGCTATTCAAGAACAACTTATTGCTCGTAATCATATCAAGATGTTCGCATAACTTTAAAACTTCGTTTATATAATTCTATTATTTCTGATCCCTTGAATTGATTAGAAGTGATCTTTTCCATGCCTCCGGTATTGGGGTGTTGATTCGCTCTCCTGTAGCTGGTGTTAGGTGTAGATCCGATGAGGAAAGATTCAGTGATCAACCTTTCCCTCCATCTACCTACCTACCTATGTAGGATTCTTAATAAGGCAGGAATTAGGGTGGCATTTATACCTATGATAATCCGTTCAGAGACAAGCTCTGTAGACTAAAGGATCCTAATGACCCAATTAGGTAAACTAATGTAATCTACAGAATGCCTTGCAATGGTTATGAGGCAAACTACATAGGTCAGTGAGATCAATAGATCGAGGGTAGTCCAATTATCGGGACATAAGAATTTAGCTAAGTGTAGAATGATTAACTTTACAAAGGTAAACAGTTTAGAGAAAAACTCAGCAATTGTAAAGTAGGATGAGACACAGCTACAATTCTAAAAATTTATATAGACAGATAGAAGGCGAGGTTGATTACTGAATCTTTGTTCATTTAATCTACACCTAATCTGTGCAATACACGAGTGGAGGAAGGAAAATATCCCCACCATTCAAATCAAAGGATGAGGAATGATGAAAAATTGTGTGAGCGCTTTGATATGATTATGAGCACCGATAAATTGTGCTGGCAACGTCATTAGTAAACAAACAACACAGTCTGTCTGTCTGTCTATTTTCAACATAGGACTTTGCATCGATTTGCAGCAGTTCGAGTCGCCACACTCTCTCTATGTAGCACACAAAGCATGAGAAAAAAGTGGAAGAAATGTATGATAGAGACAGTAGACAGGGATATGAGACAAAAGGAATAGAGTAATAGCGAAGAACAATATAGTTTTATTGGAAATTATAAGTCACAAGGAGTGGATGCATCTGCGCTAGTCATTGAGAACGATTTTGAGCCATATCTTCCTATGTGGCTGGTTTAAACTAACTGTTGTGGATTTCATTGACTGGTGAAGCCATGTTTTGGTTTGACTGCCGCCAGCTCTTTTCCAGCCTGACCCTATGTCAGCTAACATTGATCGTCGAGGAAGGTGATGGATAGCTAGGCATGCGTAACACCTGTTGTCCTAACCATCTCAGTCGATGTAACTTCACAGCTTCGTCGATTGATTTCCCCTCCTTATCTAGCACTCGACCGATGCCTTACCTCAATATTGCTCACCCTATTATACCACTTCACACGGGAGATAGAACGCAGACACATATGATCAAAGACAACTAGCCAGCTATCATTTTCATGTCTTCCATTCTCAATGGCCATGCCTCAGTCACAGGCATAAAGGAGGATGGAGAAACAATACTGTACCACTGTATGACTCTATCAAAAAAGAACTATTCTATGATGGAATTATAATGTAATGATGATAATTTTGTTTATTTCGTATTTTTAGGATACATCAAAAACGTTAAAAGATCGACAAACTAAGACAACGACAATTCATACCACTACTACAACTGCTACTACTACTAATAATAATAATAATGCCAGTGATGATTTAATTCAAGAATTACGACGTGAGCTAACTGAAGCACAGAATGAAAAAAAGCAAATAGAAAATCGTACAGAAATACGCCTTCAAGATTTAAGGGCACAATTAAATCAAGCGGATGCAACAAATCGCAGCTTGCAGGCTTATTTAACTTTCTTGAAGCGTTCTTATGCCAGTGTCTTCCAAACTGATGATATGCTTCTCATCAATCCGGTATTGTTTAATCAAAATAATTATCCAGGGAAACGTACACTGGCGACAAAAAAACAATTACCTGAGAATATTATCACTACTAATACTACTACTACAACTGCAACGAATTATAATTATGAGAATAGTACTGGTAGGGTTACAACAGGTCGTGAGTGTGTGTCTGGTCAGTAGGGCATAGGTACATATATATACAGATTTCATTGTGATGTCACTCTGTGACTCAGCAAGGAGTAACCAACCATCATAGAACACAAAAGACAGCAAATTGGTAACGTTTTATACCGTATAGTTTTCTAAGTGCTAAGACAAGTACTTCTACATAACGAATAACCAATACTGTACACGGCGATTAAAAGCCTATACATCCATATATATATATATATATATATATATATATATATATATATATATATATATGTGGTGAATGAATGAATAAATGAATGAAATATACACAATGCCTGTGATAATTTCTTAAAAGTTTTAACAGTATTCAATAGTTTGTCACTTTTGTTCGTCTTTTTTTTATTTTACTTGTTTGCTTCTTGTTCCCCACATGAAAACCATTGATTGGTTAACCGAAAATTAAGAAAAAAAATATTCAGCGCAGTATTGGTTTGTTTTCTTTTTTAAAGAATTTATTGACAATGTTAACTTGCCTATGTAGATTTCATCACGAACCTACATGAATTAGAGATCATATAAAAAACACACAGAGAATACTGGGGCTTTGTAGCAGTGTACATCCATGAACCCACCTACCACATTAGAGACCTAGCTCGTTGATCGATCACTCAGCCACATTTGGTTAGACGTCAATAACCTATTAATTCTAACTTTATCAATATGCAGTGGAGCACCGTCCATAACTAATGTCTGCGATGTCCATCCACTCCATCTTGACATGGTAGACTTTCCAGTACAGCTTTAATACATTCATGCATTAACCATCAATGAACTGGAGACTGCTATTTAGATAATAGGTTTCTGTAGGAATCTCTCGTGGGGGTGGTGGATACATAATACTGAGGAGTCCTAAACTGGGACGAAACAGTCGTCCAATGCTCTGTCTGGTTTTTAATTATCTCTAACTGATGTTGGGTCGTGATAAAATACACAATGGAATTAATTCAAATCACCCAAAAAAACCCACAATTTAAATGTTAGATTTTGTTTAGTGAATATAGCCTTAGAAGCAGTTAAAAAAGAACTAACTGCAGATCCTAAACTAACTCATAGGAAAAAGCTACCCATTGAAGAAATTATTTTCGGAATGCAGTTATGCCTGACATCTGCTATCTTTAAATTCCAAGGCAAATTATGTAGACAAACAGAAGGTGCAACAATGGCATGGTTCACCAATATCCCCTATCGTAGCAGATAACTTTATGGACAGCTGGGAAAATGTTGCTCTTAACACAACATTTAATCCTACTCCAAAAATATGGTGGAGATATGTGGATGACAATTTCACAATGTTTAAATACAGAACATATCTCTGTCTAGCTTCTTGACACATATGAACTCACTAGTGGAGGGAATAAATTTCACATTTGAATCGAAAAATGAGCAAGGAGAATTAGCTGCGATGTTAGATTGTAAAATAAAACGAATAGAAGAAGGTAAACTGCACACCAGTGATTATAAAAACCAGCGTATTCTGCTAACAGACATGTAGACTTTAATTCATCTCATCTATTATCTGTTATGGCTGGCTTAGTTAAGTGCTGCCTAACAAACCGAGCAGTAGCACTAAGTAGTTGAAGAAAAGACCTAAATGATGAAATAAAACAGATAGAAGAGGCGTTGGTGTTATATAACTAACCATCTTATAAAATTCTTCAGGAATATCAAAAAGCAGAATTCAAACCTGCAAACTCACTCAGGTAGGACAAGCTCTGTAGGCTAAAAGACCCAGTGAGCCCAATTAATATAATTTACAAAATACCCTGCAATGACTATGAGGTCAACTATATAGGTCAAATTAGTAGATCAGTGTACAAGTCATCCATCGTCATCAAATGGATATATCGCTGTCACTGTTTTCTCTCCCTGTCTAACTTCCCAATGAATGGTCCCATTTAATAGCTACTTGTTTTAATATTGGCTTTCGGGAATGAATATATATATATATATATATATATATATATATATATATATATATATATATAAATGCATCATATTAATTACTACTTAAATTCACCCTGGTATTTAATCAATTCAATAAAATAAAGAAGACAGACCAGAAGAGATTACCAACAAGTAATCCGGGTTACTAATCAACCAAGAACCTAGTGGCCAGCAGATATATGCCAAAAGAAATCGAGTGGACATACACACTGAGCAGATCGTTGGGTGTCATTTCGCGCGGGACGACAATTTAGGTATTCGAGAGTAACATAGAGAAGATTGTGTGAAGAAGAAATCAAAGCTTCTAGGCAATCGTTTAGCCAGCTAATAAAGGACTGTAGAGAATCGAGTGAAATGACAATGTGCTGCGGAAGCCATGTTTCACTCGAAATCTAAGGGCATAGTAATTATAATAATAGAATAGAGTAGAATAGAAAATATATCATGGTTTCACCTATCACAAAAACCATGCACATTCACTAATTGTGAATAATATGCAAGGGATAATACGAATTAATCGTTGTTGTTTTTGTTGTTGTGAAAATTCGATTGAACTTAGTAAAAAGTAGACAGTTAATGTGAAACGGGTGGGATGACTCATTCTAGTCTATATAATTTTACTGTATGTTACTACTACTTATACGCCTTCCATATGTCTATCTATCTATTCTATATTTCTTATCGTATTGACGAACAATAATAGTTTAGTGAACTGCCCAACACTAAAAATTGCCTTACTTCATTAGACAGGTGGGGGTATATCGCCAAAACAAATAATACCACCCTTTCGTCTCCGCCCACTTGAGTGGACAGAAAAAAGACAGTCAATTTTTATTTGGTTAGTTGGTTTTATAACATACGCTAACAACGACGCTTATTGTAGCGTTGATGCGTCCATGTGACGACATTTTAGACGGTACTTCAGAGTTCTTGCCAGTCTATGACAGTGAATATTGCTTCGTAGTTGTGCCGAGTCTTCACAAATAAATACACACGGCGTAATGCCCACACTTGTGTCTAAGTGGCACTCACTCAAACAAAGGGTATTTGAGGGTGTGCTATATATTATCACTCAGTTGGTCTTATGTGATTTTGTATTACGCATGCAACTCTACGTATCATCATCGAACAAAGCATGGAATGACAATCAAATCTCTACCTCAACTTTATAGACTTCGAGAAGGCCTTGGACAGCGTTGACAGCGAAGTAATTTAAAAACTACTCGAGTACTACGGCGTACCCAAATATTCATCAACCTTATTCAACAGCTGTAGGATAACGGCACATGTCAAGTGATCCACAATGGGAAACTCGGCGAGGCGTTTGGAGTAAACACATTAGTCAGACAAGGGTACTTACTATCACCAATGATATTCCTAATTGTGGTGGACTGGAATATGCGTCAGACAGTGGGAAACGAGAAGACAGGGATATCCTGGACCGACGTGAATACCGACGTAGAAGACCTGGATTTCGCGCGTGGATGATTTATGTTTGATGTCACACAAAATCGACGACTTACAAGCGAAAACCGACAAACTGGTGCGTCGGTGGCACAGTGGTTAGGACTCTCGCCGACCATGCACATGGTCCGGGGTTCGAGCCCACGCCGGCGCACACCTGATATCTATGGTCGGCCTGCAAAATTTGGGCTACCGATATCCATGCTGAAAATTCCATACTTGTACCAAAAATACAGTGTGGAATCAAGCTGTAAATCAAAAATAAAAAAAATAATAAAATAAGAAGCAGCCGGCGAAAACAGGACTCCAAGTGAACATAGACAACACGGAGGTTATGAAAATAACCAACCAACAACAACAGCAGCAGCGACATCCAGTGCCGATCACCATCAATGGGAGGGATTTGAAAGAGGTCACTTCATTCACTTATCTAGGAAGCATTGTCTCAACTACAGGCAGTCCGAATGGACGAGGACGTCGAATCGGGCGAGAATCGGGAAGGCCAGAAACACATTCATCAACCTGAAACCAATCTGGAAATCTTCGTCACTCAGCATCAACAACAAAATTCGGTCGGATTTTCATTACAAAAGTCAAGTCAGTCAGCTCTTCTATACGGATCAGAAAGTTGGCGGGCGGGTCAAAAAGAATATTTCCAACAGCCTGTTGCAGACATCAATAACTGTCTTCGCTCTATACTCAAGATCAGGTGGCCGTGGCGGAAAGAATCACCAACAAGAAACTATGGGGACAAACAAAACAAGAACCAATCGCCAACCAACAAATATGCAGGAGAAAGTGGAGATGGATTGGACACTTGCTGAAGAGGCCGCTGGGTGACATCGCGCGCGCGTCAGGCCATTGCTCGAGTGGAAGGGAAGCGGCTAGTGGGACGTCAGTGCAAGGGTGACATAGAGGATATTGTGTGAAGAGGAGTTGAAACAGTGTGGACTAACATGGTGCAGGTGAAAAGTACGGCAGAAGACAGAAGCAAGTGGAGATGTACAGTTGAAGCCCTATGTTCCACTAGGAACCCATGGGAACAATAATAATAGACGAATGCTGTAATCATCATATCAGATGTTACTTTTGGCTGTTTTAAAGGTTTTTTTACCGACTCCTTGTTTTTACACAGCTGGGATTTCTGTTGTTGCATTTGCTACATTGTGGGTGGAAACACTTTATGACTACTTTTATCTTCGCCCACAGTGACAGTACCACTTTTATTTACTAATGATGCTTCGAGCACAATAACCATCCCCTAAAATTCACACTGGGAAGTCTTGTGCGTCTGGGAAAACAAAGGATGAAGAAGACCCCAGCCAGGCACCCCGCTGCTTCTTATGCGATTAAAACCAACTGTGAAAGACCTCGCATATTAATTGATAACTAACTCTTTTGCAAACTAATTCTAGCCATTGCCATCAATGCATTTTCCCAAGCCCAACAATTGGCTATCCCTTATTATCTAACAGTATACTTCGCCTGTGCTATAATATTATACCATTAAACAAAGGGGATAGAACCCAAACACCTATGATTAAAGACAGCTACCCTCTTCAAATCTCCCACCACCATTGGCCATGTCTCGTAGACATAAAGAGAGAATGAGCGAATGGCTGTGCTGTAAACTCGTCCTGTGGTCGATAGGCGGATATCACATCTGTACCAGAGACGACATAAGTTGGTAAATGACAGCTGAGCATTTCCTATCCGTGCTGAGATTATGTCAGCAACCAGTCCATTAGTGCTGATTTAAATTCTCCAATAAATGAAATGACAAGCACACTCAACTAATT